GAATATAATTGCCCAATTATTTCGGCGTCAGTCACGGCGACACAATCAACTCCAATTACTAACACATAGTGCGGCAAGAATCACTCATATTCTATAGCAACAGATTCTTGCCTGTCAAATGTTGATATTTGTGATAGACTGTAGTGAGGTGCTCCTTAGTGAGTACAAACATGTTAGGGTTTCCTATTTGTACCCCAACTCCTTTCTAGTCAAGCATTCCGTTGCATTCTAACTTTGAGATGGTATCACGAGTAGGTTAGTTCCTCGTGACTTACTAGCCCGCACCCTCTCTAGCGCACCTCCACACCCTCCGCGCCATCCGCGCCTTCGCCTCCGCGCTCTCCGCGCCCTATCCTAGCCCTAGCGCCCTCCTCCGCGTGTCCGCGCCCTCCGCGCCCCTAGCCCGCGTCGTCGCGGACCTCCGCGCCTAGCGCCCTCCGCGCCCCTAGCCTGCCCCCCTAGCCCGTCGCCCAGGCCCGCGCCCTAGCCCGTCACCCCGGCCCGCGCCCTAGCCCGTCGCCCAGGCCTGCGCCCTAGCCCATCGCCCAGGCCCGCACCCTAGCCCGTCGCCCAGGCCCGCGCCCCAACCCGTCGCCCAGGCCCGCGCCCCAGCCCGTCGCCCAGGCCCGCGCCCCAGCCCGTCGCCCAGGCCCGCGCCCCAGCCCGTCGCCCAGGCCCGCGCCCTAGCCCGTCGCCCAGGCCCGCGCCCTAGCCCGTCGCCCAGGCCCGCGCCCTAGCCCGTCGCCCAGTCCCGCGCCCTAGCCCGTCGCCCCAGCCCGCGCCCTAGCCCGTCGCCCCAGCCCGCGCCCTGGCCCGTCGCCCCAGCCCGCGCCCTGGCCCGTCGCCCCAGCCCGCGCCCTAGCCCGTCGCCCCAGCCCGCGCCCTGGCCCGTCGCCCCAGCCCGCGACCTAACCCGTCGCCCCAGCCCGCGCCCTAGCTCGTCGCCCCAGCCCGCGCCCTAGCCCGTCGCCCCAGCCCGCGCCCTGGCCCGTCGCCCCAGCCCCGCAGGCAGTGCACCCCGCGGGTAGCGTGCCCCGCAGGCAGCACACCCTGCAGGCAGCGCGCCCCGGAGCGCTTGAGCGCCAGAAAACAAATTAATTAATTAAACCCTAAAAAAAAAAAAAAAAAAAAAAGGGGGTTTAGGGTGGGGGCCTGCAACTGCCGCCCACGTTCCTGCTTGCCGGACGACCTGCACAGTTGCCTACATCCCGCAGCCGTCAATACTGCAGCCCCTACTATCGCACGTACTTTCCACTGCCAGTGGCTCTACTAGCGGCAGCCGACAGCCGCACTTACGGTCTCTAGCTCCGGCCGTTCCTACCTCCAGCCAGCCCTAGCTCGCCGTTTCTAGCTCCAGCCAGTTGTGCTCCAGCCGTTCTAGCTCCAGCCGTTCTCGCTCCAGCCGTTCTCGCTCCTCGCTCCTAGCTCAGTTTGCTCCGTGCTCCAGCCGTTCCTCGCCTAGTTTCACCTGGCGCTTCTAGCTCAGTTTGCTCGGTGCTCCAGCCGTTCCTCGCCTAGTTTCACGTGGCGCTCCTAGCTTAGTTCGCTCAGTGCTCCAGCAGTTACTCGCCTAGTTTCACCTGGCGCTCCTAGTTGTTCTCGTTTTTCACTGCAGCCGTCCCTAGCTCTTGTCGCTCCTAGCCTGTCGCTCCTGCACCCCGCTAGATTTTATCATGGAGTCCACTAGGGTTCTCCACCAGCAGGGACAGTAGCAGCGGCCGTTTCAGCAGTGGCTTCCGCAGCAGCAGGGGCGCCCTCAGCAACTGTGGCGCCCTCAGCAGCCGTGGGGGCCTGGTGGTTCAGGTCGCGTTGGGTGCAGCAGCGGCCCAGCCAGCTGGGGGGCTCGTCGCGGTGGCCGCGACGTCGGCCCCTGCCAGTACCGGATCCTGACCGGCCCTGGTGCTGGCACTACCTGCTGGCGTCCTGACCAGTCTACACAGCGTTGCTACAGCCGCCTCGACGACCTTTACCGTGAGCGTTTTGGGCCTGAGTCGGCTCCCCCGATCTGGCCCGGTCTGTTTCAAGTGGTTACCCTGTGTTTGATATGTCTATGGATGCTATTTATTCTGTCACGTACGGATCTCTTGGCTTACGTGTACCTAGCTTAGGACCTTTGCCTGTTGCTAGTATCGGTACTTGTGCTTTTAGTGTAGGTGCTTGTGTAGACACTAGCCCAGCCGTGCCGACTGCTGTTGCGTCGCTCTCCTTCACGCTGGACTCTGGCGCGTCTCAGTGCTTCTTCCGCAACCACACCACTGTCACACCTCTTTCGGCTCCAGTCCCAGTTGCCCTGGCTGATCCTACTTCAGGACCAGCAGTTGCTCGCAGCTCGACCACTCTCCCATGCCCAGCTGTCCCCTCTGGCTTCCTCACTGGTCTCTACATCCCCTCGTTCTCTCGGAACTTGGTGGGTGTTGGATACCTTCAGGACCGGGGGATCACAGTCAATTTTCCTGCGCACGGGAGGACTGCGATCTGTACGGACTCTTCCACCGGGGCAGTTCTTGCCACGTTCACCAGAGAGCCCCACTAATGTCTCTTCATCCTGCACACTCCGCCCCTGCAGGTAGCTGCGACTTGTCAGGTTGCTTCGTTCCCCCCGGTAGCAGAGTCCGGTCAGGTTGCTGTGTCCGGTCAGGTAGCTGTGTCCGGTCTAGTTGCTGCGTCTTCCTCGTGTCGGTCTTTCACCCACCGGACTGTCTTGTGGCACCACCGTCTTGGCCACCCGTCGATCCCCCGCCTCCGCACTATGGCTAGTTACCGTCTTGTTTCAGGTCTCCCTCGTGTCTTCCCGTCGCTCCCTCCCTCGCCTGCGCCGCCGTGCACTCCTTGCGTCGCCGGCCGTCTTCGTGCCACTCCACACTCCTCCTCCCTTCGTCCGGCCACTGCTCCCTTCCAGACACTCCACTTGGATGTCTGGGGCCCTGCACCTACGTAGGGACCTGAGAGGGAGCGCTACTTTCTGGTGGTCGTCGACGACTTCTCGAGGTGACTTCTACGCTGATCCGGTGGCTTCTAGCCACTGAGGGCACTCGTGGCCGTCGTGTCTCCTGTCTCCACTCTGACCGTGGGGGTGAGTTTCGCTCAGGCATTCTTGCCGGATTCTGCGGCGAGCAGGGCATCGTACAGTCCTGGACGCTGCCGGAGTCCCCACAGCAGAATGGGGTTGCTGAGCGCCGCATTGGCTTGGTCATGGACATCGCCCGCACGTCCATGATTCATGCCCGTGCGCCCCATTTTCTGTGGCCCTACGCGGTTCGCTACGCCGCTCACCAGCTGAACCTCCAGCCGCGCGTCTCGCGGCCAGAGGCTTCACCGACCAGTCTTTGAACCGGGTCCCCTGGTGTTGGGTCAGCTTTTCGTGTCTGGGGCTGCCTTGCGCTTGTCCGCGACACCTCTGCGGACAAGCTCTCGGCTCGCGCCGTCCCCTGTGTCTTCCTTGGTTTCCCGGTAGCCTCGACCGACTGGTCCTTTTACCACCCGCCCCTCCACCAGTTCCTAGACTCCCGTGACGTCCGGTTCGACGAGTCAGTGTCCTACTACACCCGGTACCCCTGTCGAGGTCTCCCGGTTCCAGATTCTTACCACCCATAATATAGCTCATGAAAAATATTTTGTACATCTAAATTGGCCCAGCAGTGTAGGGTTATATGCAGGCTAAGATACCCATGATTGCAGAGTGGATCTTATAACGAACTTGTACCAGGCAGGCCCTATGTTATCAGGATAATTTATCATGAATCTCCTGGATTCAGGATAGGTGTTGTGGGTCTGTCCTGTATAAACAGCATTGGGGAAATACTTGTCTTGTAAAATCAGTGTAGTGGTTATGTAGCGTACTGACAATTCAGTATAATGGTGTAGGTTCAGCCCTGATCATTCAGGATAGTGTCGAAATCGCTCTGAAGCTAGATGTACTGCCAAGAAAATTTAGGGGCCAAGTGTACCCAACCTCCGATATCAGCTCCACTCCATTCGGGGAAGGCAAGGAGCCAGACAGAGTCGAGCTGGCGACTTCTTGTGTGCAAGGCCGACGCCTTAGTCACTACACCACTTTCTAGTGGAATGTAACTAGCCCTGAGAATTCAGTATAGAGCATACAATAGCACTGACAGATCAGGGTACCTAACCTTGTGTAGCCCTGATGAATCAGGGCAAAAACTGCCTTTCTACTAAACAGCCCTGATGCATCAGTGTAGCCTAAAATGAATCTGAGGGCCTGGTACCAGGGTTGGCGACAGCCAGATTGTGGTGTCGTTTACCATTACCGTATCACAATTATATGCGTTATTTTCAATGGCCTCACGTACTGTATTACCGTAATGGTGCTGTATCTCTCAGCGGAAATGGGTCGTCAAGCCTGACGACCCTGTGACGACCTGACGACCTGCTGCCCCGGGAAGAAAAAAACTAAAACCCTATCGGATGGCATGCCATCCGAGGGAGGCATCAACCCTAAATCCATGCCTCCTTGTGTTTAGGGTTGATGCCTCCCTGACCGGATGCATGCCCGAATGGGGTTTTTTTTTTTGCCCGCGGGCAGCGAGCTCCCCCGGGCGGACTCGCTTGTCCGCTGAGGTATTTCATTCCGGATCTGCGTGGCAGGCCCAGGAGCCACAGCTCCACCAAAAGGCGAACTAAAAGCATGATACTAGCAAGCGTTTTACTGAAGAACTACCATATACAAATGAAGAGCCAGTAGATCACCCAGCAGCACCACTCAGGACCACTCAGCACCACTCAGCAGCACTACTCAGCGCACCACAAGCACACCGTTCTCTTCTCTGGTGCCGCAAAACTTAGAATACTGCAGCGCCAGCACCAATGCCAGCACCAATGCCAGCACCAGTGCCAGCACCAATGCCAGCACCAATGCCAGCACCAATGCAAGCACCAATGCCAGCACCAGTGCCAGCACCAATGCCAGCACCAATGCCAGCACCAATGCCAGCACCAATGCCAGCACCAGTGCCAGCACCAGTGCCAGCACTGTGCCAACCTCACTCATTCCCACCAGCATGTGCCCCACTTCGCCATCCGGCAAACGACAGCTGCCCCTCAAGCGTGGGGGAGTCTTCCACAGGTGCTCCGAGCGGGGAGAAGACGGCCGACTCACACCGCCGAACCAGTGGATCGGCCGTTACCATTGCGTCAGGTGTAAGCACTGCGGGCCTGCGGATAGAGGTAGCAGCAACCCCATGAGAACTGGCAGCAGCAACAGCAGCAGTAGCAGTGGCAGCAGTGGCAGCAATGGCAGCAGTGGCTGCAGCACCCACCGTCCTCTCAAGGGCATTACTTCCATCAGTTGTAACCACTCCTCTCTCTGCCCTCCCTCCCCTACCTCCTCGCCCTCTGCTCCTCCCTGCCCTGTACCCTCCTCCTCCCCCTCCCCCTCCCTTTCCACCACCTGCTGCTCCTCCTCCCCTCCTCCTCTCCTCCCTCTCTCTCCTCCTCTCCTCCCTCCCATCCACTTCCCCCACTGCCAAACCTGCCATCCCAGCCATGGCAGGCGAGCTCCTCGACCTATCAAACTCCGCCACGCGGGACCGCAGGTTCGGCGACCGGTTCGGCGACAGGTTCGGCATGAGGTGCAGCTTCGGCAGATCGACCCTGAGCCTCCGCATCACATATGCCAGCAGCTCCTCCTTATGTGCAAACGTGAAGTCCAGATGCGCGTATTCAAACTCCCGGTATGACGCCTGCCGGCCGGCGGCCTTCAGCGTCTTGTAGTGCCAGTGGACCATCTCCCGGGGAATAAGACGGTCGCGCCGCCCGGCGACAACATCTATTGGGATATCGATGAGACGGTAAAACGCTCCGATGTCGACTGGTTCGGGGGATCCATACACTGCGAGGTTTGCTGCGGGGGAGCCGTAATCGAACATGATGAATCGGCGCTCTCGCTTGGTGAGAGCGAGGTGCTTCATGACGTTGTATGCGATCCCAGGCATGTTGTACATGTTGTAGTGCGGCTGGCGCAAGGCTCCCACCCAGTCCGACGAATCGCCCCCGACAAGAACGTTGGAAATGAGAACCTGTAGGGTACGCAAAAGAGGGGAGGGAGTGTTATGGCGATCCCATGGATAATGCTTCATGACGTTGTATGCGATCCCAGGCATGTTGTACATGTTGTAGTGGGGTTGCTTCAGGGCTGCCACCCAGCCGGACGAAAGGGCTGCCACTCAGCCGGACAAATCCCTTCCTACTACGATATTTGAGAGCACCTGTGGCAGTATGGGAGAAGGAGAGGGAGCGGGAGAGTAATGGTATCCCGGGCATGGTACATGTTGTTGTGGGGCTGTCCCAGGGGATCCCACTCAGTCCGACGAATCGCCTCCGAGTAGCATATTGAAGATTAGATTAGCATATATGGGGGTAGGGAGCAGCGGAGAAACGTATTGCGGCCCGTGCAGAGCAATGTTGAAAACCCTCACCCCACCCCCACAACCCACCACACACACACATGCCTGCACGAGGCACCACAATGCAGGGAGGTTCTGGAATTGCTACACAAGCTTGCTGAAGAGCAGACGCAGGCCCTGCATGGGCGGATACTGCTTAAACCCACACCCACACATGTACCTACGCTACGCATACCACTCTCGACACACATACACGCACCAACACACATAAAAGTACCCGCGGAACCTGAACCAGGCACCTCAAGGCAGGGAGGTTCTGGAGGAGCAGACACAGGCCCTGAGTGGGGATGTAGACGGCCGGCACGGTTCAAACAACCACACCGCACTGCACATACCCTCACCCACACATACCTGCACACTCACACCCAGACACGAATGTACCTGCACCAGGCGTAGCATACCTGAACCAGACAGCGCAAGGCAGGGAGGTTCTGAAAGTCCTGGGCTAGCTTGTTGAAGAGCAGGCGCAGGCCTTGAGAGGATAGATGGGACCTTCAGCACAGCGCACGCCGCACGCAACGCAACGCACCTGCACCAGGCGCACCTGCACCAGGCGTACCTGCACCAGGCGTACCTGCACCAGGCGTACCTGCACCACCTTCAAGAACGTACTTGAACCAGACACCTCAAGGCAGGGAGGTTCTGAAAGTCCTGAGCTAGCTTGTTGAAGAGCAGGCGCAGGCCCTGGGTGGGGATGTAGACTGCCGGTACGGAGTGGGAGAGCCACGAGTCGACGTAGGGCATGAGGAAGAGCATGACGTCAAACAGGAGGGGGGTCTTCTCATGGTAGCCTGTGGGGAGAGGGAGGGATGGATGGGAAGGATAGGAAAGGGGGTAACAGAGTGAGTACATAGAGGTGTGAGTACTTAGAGGGAGAGCCACGAGTCGACGTAGGGCATGAGGAAGAGCATGACATCGAAGAGGAGAGGAGTCTTCTCGAGGTAGCCTGATGAGGGAGAGAGAGGGGGTAGAAAGGGAGGGAGACAGGGGCGGGGAAGGAGGGGGGTCTTCTCGTGGTAGCCTGATGAGGAAGAGAGGGAGGGATGGGAAGGAATGGCAGGGAGGCAAAGAGCAAAGGATGAGTCTGGGAGGCCCAAGAGAGGCAAAAGTCCACGTAGGCCATGTGGAAGAGCATGCCGTGTGTGATGAGACGATTTTTGAGTCGACTAAAAAATCGCCTCATCACACGCAAAAGTCCACGCGTGAGTTGGGGGAGAAGGAGAGCCACAAGTTGACATAGGGCATGAGGAAGAGCATGACATCGAAGAGGAGGGGGATCTTCTCGTGGTATAGTGTGAGGAGAGGTGGAGAGTGGGAGGGAAGGGGGGCATGAGGGGTGAGCAGGAACGAGGATGAGACCAGCGGGTGAGAGAGGAAAATGCGAGGGCACTCACCAGCGGGGGAGAGGAGGATGAGGCGCGAGAGGCGGTGGGGTTGTTTCCTGATCAACTGGGTGACGAGGTAGATCATCATGGCCGCCCCTCCCAGGCTGTGCGCCACTGCCTGCAGATGGTACGGCTGCTCCTCACTCCACGGCACCCCCTGCTGCTGCTGCTTCTGTTCTGAAGCCCCTGCTGTAGTTCCTGCTGCTCCTGTTGTTCCTGCTGCTGCTGTAGCATCACCTGTGATTTCTGATCGCCCTCCATCCCCCATCCTCCTCACTTCTTCTCCTCTCTTCTCTTCCTGCCTCCTCTCCCCATCCCTCCTCTCCTCTTCCCTCCTCTCCTCCTCTCGCCTCTCCCTCAGAGCATCAATGAGCGATACAGGGGCAGGTCGCACTTCATGCCAGCCTGGCTGCCATGTCATCACGCCATCCTGCATCGTCTGGCTGCCAGGTGTCCACCCAGAACCTGTACCCGTTTGAGGCTTGTCAAGATACATCGTATCAGCACCTCCTGCTCCCCCTCCTCCTGTATCAAAACCATTACTTTGTACAGCAAGCCCAGGATGGAATGAGGAATCGCTGTGGACAAGTCCCAAGGCATCTAGTGCTGCTGAAGGACTAGGTTGCCGCCACTGGTGGTGCTCTTGACTCTGCACGGAATTCATGGGTTGCTGCTGCTGTTGCTGGCTGAAAGATTGCTCAATTGAATGTACAGGGAGATTAGGTGGAAGAGGGGTGAGTGAGGGAGGAGGAGGGACGAGAGAGGGACGGGGAGGAGGGGCGAGGTCGCGGATCTTGGTGTGGTGAATGCAGTCTATCATGGCTCGTATGTCGCACATGCCATGCTCGTTGACGCTGTAGTTCCAGTACCTGGTGGGGAAGAAAGTTCAAACATGAAAACCAGAATCGTATCAAAGATACACGTGACCATATGTTCCATGCTCATGCTCATGCTCGTGCTCGTGCTCGTGCCCATGCCTGTGCCTGTGGTTTCGTGATCGCATACACTCCACCCACTCACCTGCTGGCAGAGATGCGCAGATCCACATGCTGCCTTGTTACATAGCCTCGCATGTTGCCCAAAAACACATCGAAACCTGGAGGTTGCATGAGGGTGTGAGCATGAGGAGGGGGTGGCGGGTTGAGGGGTGGAGAGAGCGAGAGCGGTGGGAATATTTGATAGTTCAAGTCAAGGAATCAACGAATTGAAGCGGAGGAGTCTAGTTTTGAGGCGCCTCAAAACTAGACTTCTCACACGCGGTTTTGAGGCGCCTCAAAACTAGACTTCTCACACGCGGTTTTGAGGCGCCTCAAAACTATATTTGATAGTTCAAGTCAAGGAATCAACGAATTGAAGCGGAGGAGTCTAGTTTTGAGGCGCCTCAAAACTAGACTTCTCACACGCGGTTTTGAGGCGCCTCAAAACTAGACTTCTCACACGCGGTTTTGAGGCGCCTCAAAACTATATTTGATAGTTCAAGTCAAGGAATCAACGAATTGAAGCGGAGGAGGGGATGAAAGGAGAAGCATCAGAGAAGGGAAGAAAAACGAAAAGACGAGGACAAAAATATTGGAAAAGAAAGAGCGAAATACGCTGGCGGCGCCGGCGCCTCTCACCTTGGTCGTAGGCTGCAAATGCTTGAGATCCCACCACACCATTCGACACCCACCTGCGAAGAAACATATGAAAAAACAAGGCGGATTATAAGACCCGCGAAGAACAAATCAAGTCTTGAGACATTTCAAATAATCAAAGCACCCACCCACCGGTCCCCCCTGGCACTCAATTGATGCTTTCACTCAATGTTCCCCCCTCCTTCCTTCTCACCCAATGGAGCTGTCAAGAATGCCGTGCTGCAGAAACACCACTCTGGACGAGTCCCTTCCTCGGGATGTCCTCCAACGTGAGCGCACACAAGCAGGTGACTTGACTTCGAGTTGACTCACTCAGACATCACTTTGAACCCAGGCTTAGTGGCCAGCTCCGTACCATATTGGCTTAACTCCTGACACTTAATGCTTTCACTCAATGCCCCCCCTCACACTCACCCAATGGAGCTATCGAGAATGCCGTGCTGCAGAAACACCACCCTGGAAGAGTCCTTCCTTGGGATGCGTTCCAACGTGAGCACGTACCCGTCCTCTGTCACCACCTTGATCGCCTCGTAGGGGTACCTGGTGGGGAGAGAGATCAGAGAAATAGCGCAGAAGTATGAGAATATGCAAGCCTGCATGTGTGTGTGTGTCCTGCCTCGGAATGCGCTCCAACGTGAGCACATACCCGTCCTCTGTGACCACCTTAATGGCCTCGTAGGGGTACCTGGTATGGGCATAGCATAGGTGCAGGGAGAAATGAAACAGAGGTACGGTATGAATGAGCAAGCCCGCATGCGTGAGTTTATTTTAACCTCTCCTTATTGGTTCTTGCTCCAGTGTGAGCACGTAGCCGTCCTCTGTTACCACCTTGATGGCCTCGTAGGGGTACCTGGTGGGGAGCAAGGGCAGGAAGAGGGAGCAATAAGCACATGTTTGTGTGCACACCATCCGTTTTAGCTCACTGGTGTTGAAGTCATCCTTTCCTTGATGTCTCCAATGTGAGCAACAGTCCTTTCCGTCTGTGGTGACCACCTTTAAAGCCTCAGACGGGAACCTGGTGGGAATGGTAGCACAGAGAAATAGTGGGAATAATGAGTCCTATAATGGGATGTGCAACACAGAGGAGATATGGAGGCATGGAAATCTACAATACAAGCCTGCATGTGTGTGCGTCCTTCCTCGAGATCCTCTCAGTCAGGTGTGCATTCGAATATCTGCACAATACACCACCCACAACAACAACAACAACAACAACAACAACAACAACAACAACAACAACAACAACAACAACAACAACAACAACAACAGGAAGCCAACTCTCACCCGGCGTCTCGGATGATATCTTCACACGTGCGGTGCGGGCGTCCATGAGCCGTGTCCCATGCAGCGCCTCAGCGTGCCGTGTCTACCTTTTGGTTACAAGGACTCCTAATACGTACAATACAGTATACCACCACCTGCAGCAGCACCAACAATAACAATCCAACTCTCACCCGGCGTCTCGGATGATATCTTCACACGTGCGAGCGTCCATGAGTCGCGGCCCATGCAGCGCCTCAGCCTGCCGCAGCCGCTGCTGCTGCTGCCACCGGCTCTGCCCCTGCTGCTGCTCGTTCTGCTGCTGCTGCCGCTCGTGCTCCTCCTGCTGCTGCATCTGCAGCTGCGACAGGTGCTCTGCTGTACTGCTTTCCGGCGCCACATCAGCTGCTGGCGCACTGAACGCAGCAGCACCCCAACCCCCACCAGCAGCACCAGCAGCACCAGAAGCAGACGCGGAAGCCTCAGGTGAGGGTTGAAGGCCCTGTGCGGGGGCGACTGGGAGGCCTAGAAGGCGCAACAGCGGAGAGAAGAGGAAGGAGAGGAGCCTCCAGGGGAAGAGGCAGAAGAGAAGCACCGAGCGCACGGCGTCAAAGAAGCGCTCGATGACCAGCTCCCAGAAGAGCTGTAGGTCCTCCAGCACCCCGTGCCTGCAGAGACAGTAGAGTTGGGGGGTACAGTACGGTGAGGAGGTGGGTCATTCGCCTGCAGTTACGACCGGACCGGGTCCCTCTAAACGACGCACGGCATCAAAGAAGCGCTCGATGACCAGCTCCCAGAAGAGCTGTAGGTCCTCCAGCACCCCGTGCCTGCAGAGACAGTAGAGTTGGGGGGTACAGTACGGTGAGGAGGTGGGTCATTCGCCTGCAGTTACGACCGGACCGGGTCCCTCTAAACGACGCACGGCATCAAAGAAGCGCTCGATGACCAGCTCCCAGAACAGCTGCAAGTCCTCCAGCACCCCGTGCCTGCAGAGACCAGTTGTCTCTTCCGGGTATGTGTGTGTGTGTGGAGGAGGAGGTGAGTGAATCAAACATGTGAACGCAATTAGAGCCACGGCCATCCGACCGACTGCACGGCGTCGAAGAAGCGCTCAAGCACGAGCTGGCTGGAAAGAATGGATTCGAAGCGCAGCAAGAAGAGCCTCCCACGAGCTCCCAGAAGAGCTGTAGTAGATAGCAGACTATTAGACATGATCCAGCGAGCAGCAGTGACGGAGAAAGTTTAGCAAAGGAGAAACAGGTGTTGTAGTAAATCCTAGCTAGTTCGTGTAGGGTTTTGCAAAAACGAAGCTCTTCACTAAGCAGTGGTTCGAAGCGCAGCAAGAAGAGCTCCCACGAGCTCCCAGAAGAGCTGTAGTAGATCCTCCATTGAGGTGGTTCATGTTGAGGTGCGTCATGTACTCCAACACATCTCCCAGTTGCCGCCCAAAATCCACACTAGCAATGGACAGCCTTTCAGTCGAATGAAGGGCATACATACACACACATGTACAAACAGACGCACTACCTGCGAAAATCATTGAGGTGGTTCATGTTGAGGTGCGTCATGTACTCAACCACGTCCCCCAGTCGCCGCCCGAGCAGAGATCCGCTTTCACCATAAGCTGCTTTTCCAGTCAAGTCCAACACAGTAAGGAGGTGCCTTACCTGCGGAAGTCGTTCAGGTGGTTCATGTTGAGGTGCGTCATGTACTCACACACGTCTCTCAGTCGCTGCCCAAGACAGGTTCCACTCTCCCATCGACTGCTTCTCAAACAAGTCAAATACAGACACAGATGCCCTACCTGCGGAAGTCGTTCAGGTGGTTCATGTTGAGGTGCGTCATGTACTCGAACACGTCCCCCAGTCGCCGCCCGAGATCCGCACTCGCGATCAATAGCCGCCAAATCAAGGGCATGCATACACAGACGCATTACCTGCGGAAATCATTAAGATGGTTCATGTTGAGGTGCGTCATGTACTCAAACACGTCCCCCAGTCGCTTCCCCAGATCCGCACTCGCGATCGACAGCTGGCGCGAGAGGCTGCTGGAGCTGCTGCTGCGGCTGTGCGGGCCGAACCTAGGGCTGAAGATCGGGTAACCAGGCCAGGCCTGGACGGGGGTGGTAGGAGCGGCAGCAGTGTCATCAATGGCAGCTGGAGCAAGAGTATCAGTATTATCATCAGCATCAGCAGCAGCAGTAGCAGCATCAGCAGCAGCAGCGGTGCCTGCTCGTCTGGCTTTGTACATGTCTGGTGGGGCTGCTGCTGTTGCACCTGCGGCTGCTCCTTCAGAGGATGCTGCTACTGCCCCAGCAGCAGCAGCTGCAGCAGCAGCGGAGGCGGCGGCGGCAGCAGCAGCGGCAGCAGCGGTGGTGGTGGGAGCAGAAGAGAGGGGGGACGTACTATGGGAAGAGGAGGAGGGGGTTTGGGGCGAGGCCGAGGGGTCGCAGGAGGAGAAAGAGGGGGGATGGGGCATCTGGCGACGAATGGTAGGATCAAGGGTGTTGAGAGGCCTATCTCGGTCATCCAACAGCTGCTGCTGATTGAGTTGATGGTGGTTCCCTAGATGCTGCTGCTGCTGCTGTTGCTGCTGCTGATCCTGCTGCTGATGCTGCTGCTGATCCTGATGATGATGGTGGTGGTGGTGGTGGTGGTGGTGTTGCTTCCCATGCCCATCTGTTACCCTGAACCCAAACACCCACAGCAGCGGCCACAGGAAAAACAGAATCCACCGCCACAGCCACCCCCAAACCCCTGCAGCACCCCCCACCCCACTCCTCTCCCCAAAACTACTGCTGCTCCGACTAAGGGGGCTGGCAGGAAGAGAGTCAAACGCACCCCTCCTTCCTCCTCCTTCACCTCCACCCATACTCCTCCTCCTCCTTCTTACTCCCCCTCCTCCTCCTCCTCCTCCCCTACTGCTGCTGCTACTGATGCTGTGCATCGACGCCCTGTCATCGGCATCCTCGTTATTGTCCTCCTCGCTATCCGCGTCGCTGTCCTCGTTTTCGTCGTCCCCGTTACCGTAGTTGGAGCTGGAGTCGAGGTGGAAATCGTCTATAGTGTCCACGAACTCGTGTAGAAACGCATTTAGAGAGGAACCACCTCTGGTGGGTTGAGGGCAGATAAGAACAGAGCAGGGAAAGGGCAAACGAGAGTGAGTAGGAAGGGGATGGTGCAGGGGCGGCAGTCAGCCGAGGTGGAACTCGTCTATAGTGTCAACAAACTCGTGTAGAAACGCGTTCAGGGAGGAACCGCCTCTGTAGGGGAGGGGGAAAGGGAGAGGGGGGCGGGGAGGGGAGGGGGAAGGAAGGAGGAAGGAAGAACTCGTCTATAGTGTCGACAAACTCGTGTAGAAACGCGTTCAGGGAGGAACCGCCTCTGTGAAAGGGGAGGGAAGAGCGAGTAGACACGGGAAGAGCAGAGCAGGGGAGGGGAGAGCAGACCCAGAGGAAGTGAAGAGAGAGAACAGGAAACGGATGAACGGGGGTTTGAGCTGGAGTCGAGGTGGAACACGTCTATAGTGCCGACGAACTCGTGTAGAAACGCGTTCAGGGAGGAACCACCTCTGGTGGGTTGAGGGGGAGAGGCGGGAGAGGGGGGGAAGAAGAAGAACCCGTCTATAGTGTCGACAAACTCGTGTGGGAACACGTTCAAGGAGGAACCACTTCTGGTGGAAAGGGACGTATTGGGCCATCCAGGTGGGGAGGCGGGGCGAGCGGAAGGTGGGGCGGAGGTCCCAGGAGCCATGAAGCCCTTCGGTGATAGGCGACTTGTTGGGCAGACACGCGAGCACCAGCGCTGATGCCGAGTTGACTCTCCCATCCATCCCACACCTGAACTGAACCTACGTACGTACTGAGCCATCCAGGAGGGGAGGTGCGGGGAGCGGAAGGTGGGGCGAGGTACCTTCCCCCCTTCCCCCCCCCTTCCCTCCCTCCCCCCCCCCCCCCCCCCCCCCAAAAAAAGCTATTATACAACGTACTGGGCCATCCAGGCGGGGAGGCGGGGCGAGCGGAAGGTGGGGCGGAGGTCCCAGGAGCCATGCAGCCCTTCAGTGATGGGCGACTTGTTGGGCAGACATGCCAGCACCAGCGCTGACGCCGAGTTGACGAAGTTGGCCGTGTTGTGAAACGCCTCGCGGGATGCGGCTTTGACAGACCTGTAAACGTTGACAGAAAACGTGACGGAAAACGCGACGGACGGAAAAAAAGAGATGAGCTCGCGTAGAGACCATGTAGAGTGATTGCGCGGACACTTTTCATTTGTTGATTATTTGTTTTCCAAGGCGCCTCAAGATAGGCAGATGCAATTGGAGTCTGGACGTATCCTGGACTCAGACGGATACGTGACGGATTCCGTTTTCAGACCTCTGGATCGACTCTGTAACCTGACATCCATTTCTTGAGGAGGCTCAAAATAGAAAATCCCTGATGCCAAGACTTTGGAACAGATGACATACGGTGGAGATGGATCAAAAACGGTATCTTTGGGGCTCCCCAAACTACTATGAATAGGAGTCTGGATCCCAAGCGGCAAAACTCGAAACAAGAGAACGAGGAAACGGGACGAGGAAGAAAGAAACTGACACCATGCGGACGACACAGAAGAAACTGGATGAAACAGTTTCACACGAATTTTTGCCTCTCCCTCGCAGCGGCGCTAACGGTCTTTTGAGACGCCTCAAACGCAACAGATTCAAAGCAAACGCGGAATCTGAGTCGAGACAAAGCAAGGGCTGTCTAACGGCGTGATAAGAATACGGGATCAAGCGGAACTTACTCCTTGGCCACCCCCACGGCGTGATCCACTATCCTCTGCATCCTTCCCTGGTAAGAGAGAACTCCTGAAGCCAGGCAACCGGGAAGCTAACGAAGCTGACCTTCAGCCTACACTCTAGCGACTAAGTCAAGTTATGATAGAACGGACGGTATCCTCGTAGCACTCTGACCATTGTTCCTAAATGAGAAGCTTCGAATGGCTTCCGGCCTACGGGCTGAACGATCACTGAATGGCAACTCGCAGCGAGGCACGCGAGACGATACGTCGTCCAGTGCTCAGCTTTAGTCGGTCTAAGACAGAATTGCAAAACTACGCAGATGGCTCTTTCTGGTGATCAAGATGCGGGATCGCGTCTTGAAGGGAGTTCCTACTTACTGCGGTGTGGTTACTGCGTGATTGTGAAAAGCGGCTGGAGTGACTGGCTGGAATGATCGTCTCGCCTCATCATCAACACCAGCAAAAGCTCCTCACTGACTGGATCACCCAACGGACGACTCTGGTCGCATTTGTGTCTCGACTTGACTGTGTAAGCCCTATTCACAAAATTGTGACGTCACCCTTCAAATCACGAAATTCCTGAGGAACTGCAGTCTAGAATGGTTTGGTCTTGAGGGTGTTCGGCAATCAAGGGGTGTTGTAATTGAGTGATTAACCCCCCACTCAACAGAAAACACAAATTGCACCTCGACTCGACCCGAACGAAGTGAACAATGAAATACGCCCTCTGCCGGACCAGCAGTGCTTAGCTTCGAGAAGGCTTGGTTTTACCCGAGCCTGCGTCTTCGCTTTTTGTTCTCCAGCTAAGCCAATCATGACCTACACATCACACTGGTACGTCGCCAGCAGGGCTGGTTCGGCATGCACGAGAGAGGTGCGGCGAGAAACAGCCGTGCGCGCTGGCGCTGACATGGATGTTGCGGAGACAAGCTGTCCCAGCTCCGATCTGGCACAATGTTATCCTCGATATGAAAAGCTTTTTACTGTTCAAGCGCCATGCTAGTGGATTTAATAGAAGTCGTTCCGATTGATCCAATTTTCCCAGCCAGATCCTCGTCACTATCAAGGGCGCTACTCATTGCTTCAAGCATGGCGAAGTGCCTTGGTATCACTGCCGTTATTAATCGCGAGTCCAGCCTATTACATAATAGAGAAGTTTGATTCGCGTGTTAGTTTTCCTCTCGCTGCGTAACTAGTACCACACTCCTACAGACCGTCCGTATCTTACTTGTGTTCATCCTTCTATCAGGAATCCGTGTCATTCGCACATTGCAAGCCAACAGTAGCTTCCGACAGTAACGACCTGTGACAATAACGAAGGGTTACGAACAACCATGTCGAGCATATACGTGCTCGAGCCACCGACGCAAGGCAAGGTGGTGGTTTCTACCACCTTGGGCGACCTTGATATCGAGCTCTGGCCTCGTGAAGCCCCGAAAGCGGTAAGATATCCCTTTCCCGGACAGCATAACCCTGGTAACCGGTACCATTGTAACATTTGGTGGTTACCACCACATGGGGTGACCTTGATATCGGAATTTGGCCGCGTGAAGCCGCCAAAAGCGGTGACATTTCGGCTTCCTGGCAGCACGACTCTGGTACGCAGTACCGCTGTAACGGTGAGATTTCGGCTTCCTTGGTTACTATTACTGTAGTAACCACACGCACAATTGTGGTTGGCCCTGGTGTTTCCTTGGTTCCTCGCAAACCCGCGAAAGCAAGCAGCAATGAGACTCCACCACTGCGGTACCCACCACTGCAGTAGTTTTCTCTTTGTATTCACAAAAGCCTCCTTGGGGTTGACCTTCCATTTGAACTGCGCCCACGTGGCCCACGTGGAGCCCCTACATACATTAGTGAAATCTCCGCTATTTACCCCTCTCCGCCTCTCCCCTATCCGCCCGCCTCCTCCACCAACCGCCCCTCGTTCAGGTGCGCAATTTCGTGCAGCTGTGCCTGGAGGGGTACTACGACAAAACCATCTTCCACCGCGTCATAACTGGCTTCATGGTGCAGGTGAGACCTGGTGCAGTGCAGGTGAGACCTGGTGCAGGTGGGAACTGGTGCAGGTGGGGCCTGGTGCAGGTGGGGCGTGTCACCATCTTCCACCGCATTATAACTGGCTTCATGGTGCAGGTGCGACCTGGTGCAGGTGCAACCTGGTGCAGGTGCGACCTGGTGCAGGTGACATCTGGTGCAGGTGAGATCTGGTGCAGGTGAGACCTGGTGCAGGTGAGATCTGGTGCAGGTGAGATCTGGTGCAGGTGAGATCTGGTGCAGGTGAGACCTGGTGCAGGTGAGACCTGGTGCAGGTGCGACTTGGTGCAGGTGAGACCTGGTGTAGGTGAGATCTGGTGCAGGTGAGACCTGGTGCAGGTGAGATCTGGTGCAGGTGAGATCTGGTGCAGGTGAGATCTGTTGCAGGTGAGATCTGGTGCAGGTGAGACCTGGTGCAGGTGAGATCTGGTGCAGGTGAGATCTGGTGCAGGTGAGATCTGGTGCAGGTGAGATCTGGTGCAGGTGAGATCTTGTGCCTTTGCAAGCTCTTACCTCTTTTATCCCCTCTCCACCCATGCTCTCCTCTCCTCCCACACCACAGGGTGGGGACCCCACCGGGCCCTATCTGAAAAGCCCTTAAGGACGAGTTCCACCCGTGCCTGCGCTTCTGCCTTAACCACTCTCTCTACTCGCTCTTCTGCCTGGGCTAGTTCTCTCTCTAATCTCACTCCCTCAACTCCGCATCTCCTCCCACAGTACAGGGGGGAGGACTTAATGGGATCCGGGACAGGGGGCGAGTCCATATACGGGGAGCCCTTCAGGGACGAGTTCCACTCACGCCTGCTCGTGTGCTTTATGTATCCCTCACCCCCCATGCTCTCCTCCCTCCTCTCCACAGGGAGGTGACCCAACCGGATCCGGGACAGGGGGCGAGTCGATCTACGGGGAGCCGTTCAAGGACGAGTTTCACTCGCGCCTGCGCTTCTCCCACCGTGGCCTCGTGGCGTGCGCCAATGCGGGCGCGCCCCACAGCAACGGCAGCCAGTGGTTCTTCACTCTGGATCGCTGTGACTGGCTGGACAAGAAACATACCATTTTTGGCAAGGTGGGTGGGTGGGTGGGTTGCCACCTTTAGCAAGGCAGGTTTGCCAGCACTGGTTCTGGTGAGTTAAGGCGCCAATGCGGGCGCGCCCCACAGCCACGGCAGCCAGTGGTTCTTCACTCTCGACCGCTGCGACTGGCTGGACAAGAAGCATACCATTTTTGGCAAGGTGTGGTATGGTGGCATGGTGTATGAGATAATGGGATGCATGTATGGGGGGGGGCTGATCAGAATGATGGCATGGTATGGTATTGAAGTGTGTATGGAGGCATTCAAGGGCGAATCCCGTTCAATACCATGAAAAGGGTCAGTGAAATGTTCTCTCCCCTCTTCGCCCCTTCCACCCCTCCCCTTCCACCCCTCCCCTGCTGCAGATCACAGGAGACACCATTTTCAACTCGGTGCGACTGGGGAAGGTGGATACTGACGACAACTACATGCCTCCTTCCCCACTTTTCCCCTTTTCCCTTACCTCAAACACACGCAAACACACACATACACGTGTAGATCACAGGAGACAACATTTTCAACGCGGTGCGACTGGGGAAGGTGGATACTGACGACAACGACAGGCCTCTTTCCCCGCTTTCCCCTCTTTCCCATGCCTCACACACACACACACACACGCAGATTACAGGAGACACCATTTTCAATGCGGTGCGACTGGGGGAGGTGGATACTGACGACAATGACAGGCCGTTCGAGCCCCCGTCGATAATTAGCGTGGAGGTGAGTCAGCATGAGTCAGCATGAGAGTCAGTATGAGTCAGCAGGGTGAGCCAACAGCGTGAGTCAGCACCATGCGACACGTGTTTTCATGAGTTAGCTCGTGGTTAAGGTGTTTTCTGTGAATCGTTTTGTGTTCAACGATGTGATGCAAACGACTACTGAATGTCTTCTGAATATTTAGTGTATTGTTTTGAAAAGCATCTTGCTCTTGATAGCAAAATACGACTTTGGAGACGTCTCGAAATCTGCATTACGCTCCTTGTCAGATGGTGCGTTGTCTTGTGTTCATTTCAGTGGTATTTTTATGCTGTGGAATACAGCTCTATCTGAATCACAGAATATCTTATTGTCTCGTCCCAAAACAATTTCGTCTTCATTTTTGCAGGTCATTTGGAACCCATTCGAAGACATCTTCCTCAGGAAATTGCACGCACGCACACGAGATCTTGTCATTGTCTCGAACAGCACATTGTCTTGTCTCTGCTTCCTCTCTGCACAACCGCCCTTTGCAGGTCATTTGGAACCCCTTCGAAGACATTGTCTCCAGGACACTCCCTGCAAGACAGCAGCAAGAAACCGTGGTGAAGAAGAGAGGCAGAGACAAGGACAAGCGGAGGCAGCAGCAATCTCAGATCAAGGGAACCAAGTAAGCCGTCGACGAGTTTCTTAGGCGCACAAAATTTTGGACTAACCAAGTACTATGAAAAAGAGCCAGGGAAGGGACAGGGAGCAGCGGAGGCAGCAGCAGTCTCAGGTCAAAGGAACCAAGTAAGCTGATATGATAATTGGTTGTTCTCTTGACTGCTGTTGAGGATATTAAGTCTTGACCCATGTCTGCCCCTATTTACTAGAAAAAAAAAAACGTTTTCCTAACCCACATGGCCATTTACCACCTCTTAACTGCGTGCCATTTTCACCCTGCTTGTGTTCATTCCCCAGGCAGTTGAATCTCCTGTCGTTTGGAGAAGAGGCGGAGGAGGAGGAGGCTCAACTGGAGGAAGCGAATATGAGAATGAGGAGCAGCCCTCTCGTATGCGTTTTGACGTTTGCCTTGCAACTGCCTGTTACACCCTTCTCTTGTTCGTCAGGCAGTTGAATCTCCTGTCGTTTGGAGAGGAGGCGGAGGAGGAGGAGGCTCAACTGGAGGAAGCGAATATGAGAATGAGGAGCAGCCCTCTCGTACGCGTTTTGACGTTTCCCTTGCAACTGCCTGTTACACCCTTCTCTTGTTCGTCAGGCAGTTGAATCTCCTGTCGTTTGGAGAGGAGGCGGAGGAGGAGGAGGCTCAACTGGAGGAAGCGAATCTAAGAATGAGGAGCAGTCACGATGTTCTCAAGGATCCTCGCCTGCTGGCTGTGAGTTATTGGGGGGGGCGGGCCAGGGGGCTTGGGCAGGAGGGAAGGGGAAAGTGGGGGAGGATTTACTGTTGGGAATTCAAGTGGAGGAGGCTCTAACTGGAGGAAGTGAATTTGAGAATGAGGAGCCGCCATGACGTGCTCAAGGACCCTCGCCTGCTGGCTGTGAGTATTGTGGGGGGATGGGACTGAAGGGAGGGGAAAGTGGGCGAGGCTTTACTGGGGGGCACTCAAGTGGAGGAGGTTCAACTGGAGGGGGCGAATCTGAGGGGGAGGAGCAGGCACGATGTGCTCAAGGACCCTCGCCTGCTGGCTGTGAGTATCGGGAGGGGGGGCTTGGTAATGAAGGGAAGGGAGGAAGGAGGCGCGACTGGAGGAGGCGACTCTGAGAATGAGGAGCAGGCACGACGTGCTCAAAAACCCGCGCCTGCTGGCTGTGAGTCATTCGAGGGGGGGGGCTTGGGAAGGGAATGAATGGAGGAGGAGAGGGGAGGACAGAGGGACGGCTGGAGGAAGCGAATGTGAGAATGAGGAGCAGCCACGACGTGCTCAAGGACCCTCGCCTGCTGGCTGTGAGAATTGTGGGGGTTTGGGATGGGAATGAATGGAGGAGGACGGGGGAAGGAGGGAGGAGGGGCAACTAGAGGAAGGGGATGTGACAATGAGTAGCAGTCATGATGTTCTCAAGGACCCACGGCTGCTGGCTGTGAATGTGACTTTTGAACGAGGTGATAGGGATGGGGGGGCTAGGTGGTGAAGGGGAGGGAGGAACGGAGGAGGCTCGAGTGTAGAAAGCGAACCTGAGGATGAGAAGCAGCCACGATGTTTTACAAGGACCTCCGGCTGCTGGCTGTGAGTGATTGGAAGCTTAGTGATGAAGGTAGGTACATGGAGGGGGGATAGGGCGGATAAGGGAGGAGGGGGCTCAAGTGTGGAAAGCGAACCTGAGGATGAGAAGCATCCACGACATTCTCACGTACCTTGGGCTGCTGGCTGGCTGGCTGTGAGACATAGGGGGGCTAAGGAAGAGGGAGGTAGGGGTGAAGAGGGTGTTTGTTGTCATCACATCACATCACCTCACCATCTCTGGGAGTGAAGTGAACCTGTGAAAGTACATTCGCTTTTGTCATGTTTCCTTTCAGCCTTCTGAGAAAAAAAAATATAATCATAATAATTACACTTTCTTCTTCAACCCCTCCCCCTCTCTCCCCCCCATTCCTCCCCTCTCCGCTTCCCCGCCTCCCTTCCCGCCCCCCTCTTCCCACCGCCGGTTCTCTCTTTCTGTTTGCTTTGTTTTACCCAGGAAACAGCGGAGGCAGTTCAGCAAAAGCTGGCCGGACGGGGAGGGGACGTAGAGGGGGAAGAGGAAGACGAGGAGAATGGGCGACGAGAAGGGGGGAGAGAAAGGGAGACGGGAGGGGATAGAGAAAGGGAGATTCTTGTTAGAGGGAGAGACAATGGCAGACAAGGGGAGGGTGCTGATGGTGAGGGTGGGAGCAGGAGAGGCAGGAAGGGGGAAGAGACGGTTGGAAAGAGGGGGAATAAGGGCGGTTCCATTGGTCCTGAGGAAGTAAGGGGAAGGGAGAGAGGAGGCAGGGAGGAGAGCGGAGACGAGGGAGAGGGGGAAGGTGACGGGGAGGAAGCGAGTTTTGATGAGCTGATGAGGAGAAGGGTGTTGGAGAAACAACGACGGTTTGGGAAGCATGGGGGTGCGAGTGAGGAGGGCCGGAGAGGGGAGAAAGCAGGGAGAGGAGGAGTGGGAGAGGGAGGGGAGAGGGAGGGGAAAGGTGCAACGAGAATCCACGATGGGTTTGGCACAGGGGAGCAGGCAAAGGGGGGAAGCGCAAAGGAGGAACGAACAAAAGAGGAGGATGATGATGAGGATGGAAGTGGTGACAGTGATGGTAGTGATGGGAGTGATGAGGAGGAAGGGGGGAGAGGAGGGAATGGGAGGGTGAGGGTAGAGAAGCTGCGATTGAGGAAGGGTGGGAAGGGAGTGGGGAAGGGAGGGGGGGAGGGGGGAGAGAAGGGGGGGGAGCAATGGGAGGGGGGTTGCTGGGGGCGGAGGAGGAGAGGCGGCAGCAGATGAGGCAGAGGAAACGAGCTCTGGGGTCAAGACAAGAAAAGGTGAGAGAGATTGCCGAAGGGAAAAGGCTGAAGGGTCTGTGTGAGACAGTGGGAGGGGGGTTGCTGGGGGAGGAGGAGGAGAGGTGGCAGCAACTGAGGCAGAGGAAACGAGCTCTGGGATCGAGGCAAGAGAAGGTGAGCATGAGTGCCGAAGAGTTAAGCATCGTTTCGTAGAGCATGTGGCTGGGAAGTCAGGTTGTCGTGAGCTGACTCAAAAGTCGTTTCGTAGAGCATGTGGCTGGGAAGTCAGGTTGTCGTGGACGTGGATGTGTGGTTGGGACAAGCTTAGTGAAATGGTCGCATTCAAGTATTCTCAAGTGTTGCTGTTGAGAATTCTCAGAGCTTTGTTAGGGTGTGTGGCTGTGGGTGAAGTCAGGTTGTCGAGGACGTGTGGTTAAGAGATAAACTTAGTAAAATGGCTTGAGACCTAGATGCATTGCCCTTGGTGTTACAGCATTAGCTTTACGATTGTTTTCACTAATTCCCATGTTTTTGCGGAACTTTGTGTACGAACTGAGTTCTTGAAGCGCAGAGCTTCATGAGTGCTGTTTTTTCTTCAGAGTGTCCTAGAATCATTGGTCATACCGGTTCCTCTTCATCGTCCCTCCCTTGTCCCTCCCTTGTCCCTCCCTTGTCCCTCCCTTGTCCCTCCCTTGTCCCTCCCTTGTCCCTCCCTTGTCCCTCCCTTGTCCCTCCCTTGTCCCTCCCTTGTCCCTCCCTTGTCCCTCCCTTGTCCCTCCCTTGTCCCTCCCCCAGACTCTTGAGCTTCTGAACCGCTTCAAATCAAAGCTAGCAGCTTCCAAGACAGTGCAGCCGAGAGAAACACGCACAGACGAAGGCAAGGAGGAGGGTGCAGATGAGGGGAGAGCGGACAGGAGAGATAGGGAGAGGGAAGGAGAGAGGGGCAGGGTGGGGAGCAGCAGCAAGGAGGTCAGCAGAAAGCGAGGGTTGGTTGGTTCAGAGGGGAAGGAGCAGGGAACAGGGGCGTATGGGCCGGGGGGGAAGGCGAGGCAGGATGTGGGAGGAGAGGGAGAGGAGGAGGATGAGGAGGGTGGGGGAGTGGATTGGATGGCTCACCGGTTGAAGTTTGAAGTGAAGAGGAACAAGAGGGTGAGTTGCAGATGGTGTTTTGAGACAGGATTGTGGGCGAGGGGGGTTGGGGGTGCACCTCACAGCATGAGGAGGAAGGTGGGGGGGTGGATTGGATGGCTCACAGGCTGAAGTTTGAAGTGAAGAGAAACAACCGGGTGAGTCGTGGGGAGTGTTGCGATGCAGGATCACGAGCAGGCATGTTGGGTAGGGTGCTGTGCAGGGTTTTGTGGGTTGGATGGCTCATTGGTTGAAGTTTGAAGTGAAGAGAAACATGCAGGAAAGCTGGAAAGAGTGGGGGGGGAGACAGGGAAAGGGGTTGTGGTGCTGGAGTCAAGAGCAGGCGTGTAGAGTGGTGCGGATGGGGGGGAATGGAGCAGTGCACTACCCTCTGCTGGATATCCCAGATTGTCACTCTATCTTCTTTCCTGCTTCTCATATGCCCTCTGCTTCTCATATGCTCTCTGCATGTCCATAGCTTGTTCCCGTCAGGAATAGATGCTTCGCAACGCGGTGCAGGATCCACTGCTGGAGCACGCTACACCTTCTCACTCTCTCCCCTTCTCTGCCTCTCGTGTTCCCCTATGCATGTTCCTTGCTTGCCCCCATCAAGACGAGGTGCTTTGCGATTATGACCCGGATCAGTACCCGGTGCACGACCCTCTGCTGGATATCCCAACTTCACAATCTTTCTTCTTTGCTCATCATATGCGCTCCATGTGGCCCTTGCTTCACCCTATCAGGACGAGATGCTTCGTAACGACGACCCAGATCAGTACTTGGTGCACGGCCCTCTGCTGAATTACACCACACCTTCTCATTCTTTCGTTACCTGTAATGCCCGCATGCCGCCATATACTTCTCTTGTGCCCCCATCAGGACGAGATGCTCCGCAATGATCACCCGGACCAGTATGCGGTGCACGATCCACTGCTGGATATCCCAATTCCCCACTCCTTTCTTGTTGCTGATTCTTGTATGCCCTATGCATGCCTCTTCCCCTTCCAATCAGGACGAGATGCTGCGCAATGACGACCCGGATCAGTACGCGGTGCACGATCCACTGCTGGAGAAGGGCAAGGAGAAGTTCAACAAGATGCAGGCCAAGATGAAGAAGAGAAACAGAGAGTGGGCTGGCCGGTCGTTAGACTAGTGGGGAATTGTGTGGATCGATGCATGGAGCATTTCAACAAGATGCAGGCTAAGATGAAGAAGCGCAACCGAGAGTGGGCTGGCCGGTCGCTGGACTGATTTGGATCGTATGGAGGATGTTTGAAGGAGTTCCACTGGGTGTTGGCGATCAGTACGGTACGCGGTGCACGATTTAATGTTGGAGAAGGGCAAGGAGGAGTTCAACAAGGGACAGGCCAAAATGAAGAAGCGCAACAGGGAGTGGGCCAGTCGGTCTCTGGATTGATGGTGAGGGTTTGTATTAACTGACACAGATGCTAGCACGGGTTTGTGAGGCGCCTCAAACAAAACTCGTTTCATTTGTCGGATGGAGGAGTGGGGTGGGGTCCCTGCTGCTGGGGATGGCGTGGGCCCTGGTGCTGACACTTGTATGAGTTGAGTATTACTGAGGCGAAGAAGCTGTACATCTAAGAGATGCTGTGTTAAGTGGTTCACCTTTTTAGGCTTTGTTGAGAATGCTACTAATCTAGCATGAGGCAACATCTAGCTCGAATCTTTCGAACATCAACCGAGGCTGGCCCTTTCTTTGTATATGTCGGTTTCTCAGTGTAATACTCCTCGTTTATCCATTCTATTCTACCTCGTGGTGAAGGTACGGCTACTGGACCTGCTTGATCCCTATTTTATGAGTGGTGAAAAAGTGCTACTACGCTACTCAGTGTCTCCTTCGCAACCTTAAACCAAATCGAAGCTTCTTGTGTCGGGTGAATGTCTCAAAGTAGGAATGCAACGGAATGTGTGAACTAGGGAAACAAGGGATACAAATAACAACCCTAAAAGTGTTGTACTCCCTAGAGTGCTACTCACTGTAGCCTAAGAACCTATAATAACATTTGACACACCCCCATAGGCTAAGTGAGGGGCATCAAAGCAAGCAGGGTGAACAAACGGTCACAAGACCAGTCAATGCAAGAAGCAAAGCAAGCTCAGGGTGGATCTCAAGGACACCACACAAATTCCGAGCACAAGCAAGCGGCCACAAGGCCAGTTTAAGAGTTCACTAGGATATATATAGCAAAGCACAACAAGCAGAGCAAACAGCAAGTCTACAGCAACCGAGGGCCTACCTCAACAAGCCCCAACTGCACACATAACCTGTGGTGGTCACCAAGCGCCAGGGCCTTGGTGAAGACGTCTGCAGTGTTGGCCTCTGAGGCCACAAAGTCCAGGCGTGCCTGGCCGCGTCGCTGCAGCTCTCGCAGAAGGAAGTACCTCACGTCAATATGCTTCACTCTGCTCTCCAGTCGAGGCTCTCGACAGAGGAGGATCATGGCCTTGTTGTCAGCGTACAAGGTCGGTGCAGAGCGAGGCCGCTCACCAAGGTCGGTGAGCAAGAAGGTCAACCAGCGAAGCTCCTGTGCCGCCATGGCACCAGCGTAGATCTCTGCCTCTGCACTGGAAGTAGCCACAGACGACGACCGTGTAGACCTCCACGACACAGCACCAGCTCCCAGACTGAAACAGTAACCCTGAGTCGAGCGCTGAGTCTCCACGTCGTCAGCGTAGGAAGAGTCGCAGTGACCAGTCAACGCCACTGGCTGAGTCCCTCCAAGCACAAGCCCCATGCCTGATGTAGTCGCCAGGTACTTCGCCACCCTCACAGCAGCTGTCCAGTGGACAGGACGGTGTCTCCCAGTCGCAACAAAGCAAGAAAGGATGCTGAGAGGAAAGGCGAGGTCCGGCCGAGTACAAGTCATCAGGTACATGAGGCAACCCACCAGCTCTGCGTAGGGACCACTGGACTCAAAGGGCTCGTCCGGAAAGGGACCAGTGAGTCAATGGTCAACAGCAAGAGGTGTGGGCTGTGTGGTGGAGAACTGGAAGTCGAACCGCCGAAGGACCTGCTGCACCATGTGTGACTAAGTCAGTGTGATGGTGCGAGCGGCTCTGTCCCTGGTGATCTGCAGGCCAAGGTAGCACTGCAGTTCACCTAGGTCAGTGCATTTGTGTCTCTTCTGCAGTTCGGACTTCACCTGAGCCAGAGCTGCCCTGTCTGCTGTGGCAAAGACCAAGTCGTCGACGTACACTAGTATAAAGAAAGGAGTGGAACCAGTGCGAACAAACAGCGACGGGTCGGCAGAGGAAGGACGAAACCCAAGGTCACGAAGCGTGGAGCGAAGAGTGTCGTGTCACTCACGGGGCGACTGGCGGAGACCGTAGACTGGCCGTCTCAGGCTCCACTGGGTCCCAGGTGGGAAGGTGTCAGTGAAGCCAGGAGGGCGGCGCAGCCAGATCTCCTCGTGTAGTCGGCCCTGGAGAAACGCAGTAGAGAAGTCAAGGGAGTGCAGCTCGTAGTCTCGCTGTGCTGCTACGTGCAGTAACACCCGAAGAGTAGTCATCTTCGGGGTCGGGGCGAAGGTCAGGAAGAAGTCAACTCCCTCACGCTGACTGAAACCCCTAGCCACGTAGCGCGCCTTGAACACATGCGGTGAACCAGGCGGCCGCTTCACCTTGAACAGCCACATGCCATCGACTACGTTCGCCCTGGGAGGGGGAACTGCGTCGACGTAGGTGCCTGTGGATCTCCAAGACGCTAACTCCGAGGCCATAGCCGCTTTCCACTGTGAGGCCCACGCCCCTGACACTGCCTCGCGGTAAGTACGAGGAGTCGGTATGTCAAGGGCGTCGGGGTCTCCCTCAGGGGATAGCAGCATGGCACAGACAGAGGGAGAAGCAGCTGCCCAGTACTCCAGCTCTGACTCTCTGTCCTCTAGGACGTCACAACCAAGGGCAAACTCGCCCCCGACGGACAGAGGACGGGAAGGAGGAGCTGGCACCACACGGGTGGTGTAGTCAAGGCGACCGGCGGCAGCAAACTTTGCAACAGCGGCAGTGAGAGCCGAGACAAACGACGGAGGGAAACGAGAGTCGTTGACAAGAGTGGCGAGGACACGAGAGACAACAGGACGAACAGCGCGGTAGTAGTCAGTGACAGGAGTAGGGGGGAAAGGGAGAGAGGACGGAGGAGGAGACGGGAAAACGGACTCAGGAGGAGGACGATGAAGAGACGAACAAAGGAGGGCAGTGGGGAGGTCGGTAACGGGAGACGAGTGACGAGCACGCGGAGGACAGGGACGGACACGTGAGTGTGGGACACCAGGTGGAGGAGACTGCGGTGGAGGAGAAGACCAGACCGCTGGACTGTCGTCAGGAGGAGGAAACGTGGGACCAAACGTTGGAGGGGACGGAGTGTGAATAGGAGGAGAGGAGGGAAGACCAAGGGCCCGAAGGCCACTCACGGGTGGGAACAACTGCCGCTCCAGAGGGAGCTGCGGTGGGCGCGGCTGCGGCGGCGGTGTCTGCTGCTGCGGCGGCTGCTGCTGCTGCTGCTGCTGCTGCCGCTGCTGCTGCTGCTGCTGCTGCTGCTGCTGCTGCTGCTGCTGCTGCTGCTGCTGCTGCTGCCGCTGCTGCTCTAGCAGGTCCAACTGCCGCAACTCCTGCCGCTCCCTCTCCAACAGCACCTGCTCCTCACGCTCACGCCGACGGGCCGCCTGGAGACGTGTGTCGTGGCGGTGGGGAGGCGGAGTGGACTCCGCAGAACTAGTGTCTCTAGCTCCAGTCTACTCAGAACCAGCACCTCCAGTGCCAGCGCCTCCAGCACCAGCACCCCCAGAACCAGCACCTCCAGGACCAGCACCCCCAGAACCAGCACCTCCTGTGCCAGCATCTCCAGCTCCAGCACCCCCAGAAGTAGCACCTCCAGTGCCAAGACCTCCAACTCCAGCACCCCCACAACTAGCACCTCCAGTGCCAGCACCTCCAGCTCCAGCACCCCCAGGACTAGCACCTCAAGTGCCAGGACCTCCAGCTCCAGCACCCCCAGGGTTAGCGCCACCTGCGCCAGCACCTCCAACTCCATCACCCCTCGAACGAGCACCCCCAGACCGAGTACCGCCAGTGGCTGCACCTCCAGCTCCAACACCAACCGAGTCCACAGTAACCTGTCACGGAAGTACCGAAGGCTGCTAAGGGGACTGTGAGGAGGACTGCGGGGAGGGAGACGCTACCTGACGCGCGACCGAGGGTAGAGGGGTAGTGTGAGACACACCTGACAGGGCAGGACCAGGGGGGGGTGGGGGTACCGGAGGAGCGGGACCAGGGGGAAGAGAGAGTGCGAGGAAAAGAGGGGGAGGGGGAACCGGGAGACCTCGACAGGGGTACCGGGTGTAGTAGGACACTGACTCGTCGAACCGGACGTCACGGGAGTCTAGGAACTGGTGGAGGGGCAGGTGATAAAAGGACCAGTCGGCCGAGGCTACCGGGAAACCAAGGAAGACACAGGGGACGGCGCGAGGCGAGAGCTTGTCCGCAGAGGTGTCGCGGACAAGCGCAAGGCAGCCCCAGACACGAAAAGCTGACCCAACACCAGGAGACCCGGTCCAAAGACTGGTCGGTGAAGCCTCTGGCCGCGAGACGCGCGGCTGGAGGTTCAGCTGGTGAGCGGCGTAGCGAACCGCGTAGGGCCACAGAAAATGGGGCGCACGGGCATGAATCATGGACGTGCGGGCGATGTCCATGACCAAGCCAATGCGGCGCTCAGCAACCCCATTCTGTTGTGGGGACTCTGGCAGCGTCCAGGACTGTACGATGCCCTGCTCGTCGCAGAATCCGGCAAGAATGCCTGAGCGAAACTCACCCCCACGGTCAGAGTGGAGACAGGAGACACGACGGCCACGAGTGCCCTCAGTGGCTAGAAGCCACCAGATCAGCGTAGAAGTCACCTCGGACTTCTTCGCGAGAGGAAACACCGTGGTGTACCTGGAGAAGTCGTCGACGACCACCTGAAAGTAGCGCTCCCTCTCAGGTCCCTGCGTAGGTGCATGGCCCCAGACATCCAAATGGAGTGTCTGGAAGGGAGCAGTGGCCGGACGAAGGGAGGAGGAGTGCGGAGAGGCACGAAGACGGCTGGCGATGCAAGGAGTGCACAGCAACCTGACCGGACTCTGCTACCGGGGGGGACGAAGCAACCTGACCAGACGCAGCTACCTGCAGGGGCGGAGTGTGCAGGACGAAGAGACATGAGTGGGGCTCTCTGGTGAACGTGGCAAGAACTGCCCCGGTGGAAGAGTCCGTACAGATCGCAGTCCTCCCGTGCGCAGGAAAAGTGACTGTGATCCCCCGATCCTGAAGGTATCCAACACCCACCAAGTTCCGAGAGAACGAGGGGATGTAGAGACCAGTGAGGAAACCAGAGGGGACAGCTGGGCACGGGAGAGTGGTCAAGCTGCGAGCAACTGCTGGTCCTGAAGTAGGATCAGCCAGGGCAACTGGGACTGGAGCCGAAAGAGGTGTGACAGTGGTGTGGTCGGGGAAGAAGCACTGAGACGCGCCGGAGTCCAGCGTGAAGGAGAGCGACGTAACAGCAGTCGTCACGGCTGGGCTAGTGACTACACAAGCACCTACACTAAAAGCACAAGTACCGACACTAGCAACAGGCAAAGGTCCTAAGCTAGGTACACGCAAGCCAAGAGATCCATATGTGACAGAATAAACAGCATCCATAGACATATCAAACACAGGGTAACCACTACGAAACAGACCGGGCCCGATCGGGGGAGACGACTCAGGCCCAAAACGCTCACGGTAAAGGTCGTCGAGGCGGTTGTAGCAGCGCTGTGCAGAGTGGTCAGGACGCTAGCAGGTAGTGCCAGCACCAGGGCCGGTCAGGATCGGGTACAAGCAGGGGCCGACGTCGCGGCCACCGCGACGAGCCCCCCAGCTGGCTGGGCCACTGCTGCAGCCAACGCTACCCGAACCACCAGGCCCCCACGACTGCTGAGGGCGCCACAGCTGCTGAGGGCGGAGCTGCTGCTGAGGGCGCCCCTGCTGCTGCGGAAGGCACTGCTGAAACGGCCGCTGCTGCTGTCCCTGCTGCTGGAGAACCCTAGTGGACTCCATGATAAAAGCTAGCGGGGTGCAGGAGCGGCAGGCTAGGAGCGACAGGAGCTAGGGACGGCTGTGGTGAAAAACGAGAACAACTAGGAGCGCCAGGTGAAACTAGGCGAGTAACTGCTTGAGCAGGGAGCGAACTAAGCTAGGAGCGCCAGGTGAAACTAGGCGAGGAACGGCTGGAGCACGGAGCAAACTGAGCTAGAAGCGCCAGGTGAAACTAGGCGAGGAACGGCCGGAGCAAGAACTGGCTGGAGCTAGAAACGGCGAGCCAGGGCTGGCTGGAGGTAGGAACGGCCGGAGCTAGAGACCGTAAGTGCGGCTGTCGGCTGCCGCTAACAGAGCCACTGGCAGTGGAAAGTACGTGCGACAGTACGGGCTGCAGTACTGACGGCTGCGGGATGGAGGCAACTATGCAGGTCGTCCGGCAAGCAGGAACGCGGGCGACAGTTGCAGGCCCCCACCCTATACCCCCTTTTTTTTTTTTTTTTTTTTTTTTTTTTAGGGTTTAATTAAATTTTTTTTTTCTAGCGCTAAAGCGCTCCGGGGCGCGCTGCCTGCAGGGTGTGCTGCCTGCGGGGCGCGCTACCCGCAGGGCGCGCTGCCTGCGGGGCGCGCTACCCGCGGGGCGCGCTACCCGCGCGGCGCGCTGCCTGCGGGGCTGGGGCGACGGGCCAGGGCGCGGGCTGGGGCGACGGGCTGGGGCGCGGGCTGGGGCGCGGGCTCGGGCGACGGGCCAGGGCGCGGGCTGGGGCGACGGGTTAGGTCGCGGGCTGGGGTGACGGGCCAGGGCGCGGGCTGGGGCGACGGGCTGGGGCGACGGGCTGGGGCGACGGGCCAGGGCGCGGGCTGGGGCGATGGGCTAGGGCGCGGGCTGGGGCGACGGGCTAGGGCGCGGGCCTGGGCGACGGGCTAGGGCGCGGGCCTGGGCGACGGGCTAGGGCGCGGGCTTGGGCGACGGGCTAGGGGCGCGGAGGGCGCTAGGCGCGGAGGGCGCTAGGCGCGGAGGTCCGCGACGGCGCGGGCTAGGGGCACGGAGGGCGCTAGGCGCGGAGGTCCGCGACGGCGCAGGCTAGGGGCACGGAGGGCGCTAAGGCGCGCGGGCCGAAAACATGGGCTAGGGGCGCGGAGGGCGCTGACGCACGGAGGAGGAGGGCGCTAGGGCGCGGAGAGGGTGCGGAGGGCACGGAGGCGCGGAGGGCGCGGAGGGCGCGGAGGTGCGCTAGAGAGGGCGCGGGCTAGGAAGTAACGAGGAACTAACCTACTCGTGGTACCATCTCAAAGTAGGAATGCAACGGAATGTGTGAACTAGGGAAACAAGGGATACAAATAGCAACCCTAAAAGTGTTGTACTCCCTAGAGTGTTACTCACTGTAGCCTAAGAACCTATAATAACATTTGACAGAATGTTGTGACTCGTGCCGAAATAATTGCCCAATTAATTTCTGGACACGGTTGGTGTTTCGCAGAGTCCAGCGAAATCACCAACGCTGTAACAGATCCGTTCGCACGGCTTCGCCCGATGAACTTCATGTTCGATTTCCCCGCACTTCGCGCCGCCATTTCACGATAAAAGCATTCATCATCACTCTGCTTCCTTCACCAGACTGCATTCATCCATCCATCCACGACTAGTGCTAGTCCACTCCCAAAGTACCCTGCACTCATTCGAAGCACGCTCTCGTTCCCTTTCAACATGGCGAATCGCGCTTACCTTCTACTACCCGTTTTCGTCGCGTGCCTAATTTTTCTTGCTGAGGCAGCACCCATAGCCACGGAAGAACCGTCATCCGAGGTAGTAATCATGTGAATTCTTCGTTGCAGTATGTCGTAGTAATATGCGCGTCCCAGCTTCCGTCGTTTTTCGACCTTGAATCTTCTACCAGTGGAGCAGCAGCCTGCTGAGTGATGCAGCTGTTTTCTATTCATCCTTTTTTTTTTCTCTTACGCACGCCATCGTTTGGACGGGTTGACAATTTTGCAGGCATTTGAGCGACCCGATCCTCGCGCCAAAAGTAACACGTTTGCATTTTGTGTATGATTTGCGACCTCGCAGGCAATTGAGCGACCCGCGAGGATCCTCGCGCGCCACAAGATCCCGCGGAGGGACCCGGCGGCGGGCGCCGACGACATGTCCGGCAGCGGGGACTCTGGCGCGGGGGGGAGCAGTGCGGACGCCGCCTCGGCGGATTCGGTTGAGTCTGCGCCGAACATGCGCGCCACGAGCAGCAAGTCCGTGGATTCCTCGTGGAAGCGCAGGGATCACTCGCACGGCCGCAATGATCACTCGGCGGCCGCAACGATCACTCGGGCGGCCGCAACGATCACTCGGGCGGCCGCAACGACCACTCGGGCGGCCGCAATGTGTTTAAACTAGGCGGAAAAGGAGGAATGGTAGAAGAGGGTTTGCACTAGCAGGTAGGTGGGATACATGTAGGAACCCTAAAAGGGCTGTACTCTATGTTGAGTACCCCACTACAGCCTACACAGCAAATATCAATTTGACACAATGATCACTCGGGCGGCCGCAATGATCACTCGGGCGGCCGCAACGATCACTCGGGCGGCCGCAACGACCACTCGGGCGGCCGCAATGATCACTCGGGCGGCCGCGGTTCGTCATCGGGGTGTCCGTAATCCACGTCCGGGTGCGCCTTCACGTTCAGCGGGCACCAAGGCGGCCGCATCCCCGAGTTCTCGCTGCCCCAGCAGCCGCGTTGCGACAGTTTCAAGGACCTGACCGTCGGTAGTCCCTTGGAACTAGTCAGCGGTGTGAAGGTTGAACGACTCAACTCGAACGGCGCGCAGTACCCGTGCTCGAACTCAGGCACGGCCAACCTCGAGAACCAGTTCTACGCCACCGGCAACGTAAGCGCCAACCCCATACCCAACCCCAAATTTCCTGTTGCCCTCAACTCCTCGATTTTTAAGAAGTAAAACGAACGATTCAGGAAACCGTCAACCTCGAGAACCAGTTCTACGCCACCAGCAACGTAAGCGCCAACCCCAACCCCAACCCGCCCTGCTTTGCTTCCTCCCTGCCGCTCGCTCCCCCACCTGCCCCTCTCCCACACAGGTGATCAAGATGCGCGTGGTGCAGCCGGGGGACAAGGGGAAGCTGCAGAACCTGGTGGTGAAGGTGCCCATCACCGATGCAGTCCTGAAAGTGAGGGGGAAAACCGTTAATCTCAACCAGAACCAGGGCCTTGACATCGTTTCTACGGAGCAGCGCTGCGTTCTCTTCAAGATCGTCTAAAGCTGTGCGGGGTAAACGCGGAGCCCTTCCCCTTAGAGTGGAGTGGCAAGAATAAGAGAGAATAAGTGACGCGGAACTCCCAGTGCGGTGCTGGTGCTGCCTCTGGGATACGGCCTCTGCTCACACTTCACTGGATAGATTTTCGTCCTGCTGTAGTGTTGGTTTGATTTGGTTCAGTTCGGTTTGGCTGGGTGCTTTGCTGGACATTCACCTCTGGGTTTGCTTTGCTTTGCTTTTGTTGAGTTTGGTTTGGGCTGAAAAGGTTTGGGTGTTTGAATGGAACATTCTGGTAGTCTTGTCCTTTGTTTTGATTGTATCCTTGTGGTAATAAAGCATACAGTTTGCATTGAAAAATATTTTTCTGGAGGCGTGCCTTCTTGTAAACGATTGGGGATTTGAGAATGCCCAAAGGCATCCAATCAGATGACAGACAATGATTTACCAGACTGACAAAGGTTCCTTCTATATGCCAAGCTTCACCACTTCTCCACCTCTATTTCCCCCCTCTTCCTCCTCTCCCTTCTCTGATTCCCCCCCCTCTTCCTCTTTCCCTGTCCGGTCCACCTCCCTCCTCTCCACTCCACCTCCTCTCCCCTCCTCCCCACTCCCCCCTCCCTCCTCTCCACTCCATCTCCTCTCCCCTCCTCCGCACTCCCCCCTCCCTCCTCTCCACTCCACCTCCTCTCCCCTCCTCCACACTCCCTCACCTCATTCATCCAGCGCCCAATAAATCCAGTCCAGGTGCAGAAAATTGGAGCAACACATCTCCTCTCCACTCCACCTCCTCGCTCCCCTCCACACTCCCCTCACCTCAAACATCCAGCGCACAATGAATCCAGTCCAGGTGCAGAGAACTTTAGCAACACAGCATGTGCCACACAGACTGAACAATGAATCTTATCATCTAACTATGCAAAGCCTGGTCTCCTCTCCTTCACCTCTGCTTCCTCACCCCCTCCCACGGCCTCTTCGCTCTCCTCTGCTTCCTCCACCTCTTCCTCCTCCCCTTCCACCTCACGTCTCTCCCCACTCCCACCCTCCCTCTCGTCTCTTCCCTCTCCCTCTCCCTATCATTTAACCTGCTCCAGAAATAGCTCATCAGAGCAGCACAGCATGTGCCGGAGGCTGAAATATACATCTCACTATCCCAGGTCAGATTTCTTCTGCTCCACCCCTGTATCACCTTCTTACGCCTCGCCCTCCTCTGCTTCCTCCCCCTCTTCCTCTTCGACCTCCACCTCACTCTCCTCTCCACTCTCTCCTCTCTCCTCTCCACTCTCTCCTCTTCCCTCCTCCGCACTCCCCTCCTCTTCCTTCCCCGCTAGCGCCCACTTCACTCTTTCTAAGAACAGCTCATCGGAGCAGCACAGCATGTGCCGGAGGCTGAAGGACAGCCCCTGCTGCTGCAGCAGGCGGTGACGGGGGGCAATGCGCGTGTCTAAGGCATAGCTGAAGAAGCTGCTTGGGAGGAGGGAACGGTGGGTGTGGGGGGAAAATGGGGAGGGGAAGGTGCAAAAGAACAGAAGCTCAATGGCAGCAAGCGGTGCCTCGCAGCAATGCACACGTCTAGGGCATAGCTGAAGAGCTGCTTGGGAGGAGGGAACGGTGGGTGTGGGGGGAAAATGGGGAGGGGAAGGTGCAAAAGAACAGAAGCTCAATGACAGCAAGAGGTGCCTCGCAGCAATGCACGCGTCTAGAGCATAGCTGAAGAAGCTGCGCAGGTGTGAGGAGAGGAGGGCAGGGTGGGAGTGGGAGGTGGAAGGCATGGGAAGAGAATTGATGGACAGAACGAAAAGAAAAGTCGTGGGAAGAGTATGGTAAGTGGGCATTGGAGCAGAAGAGCATGTGTCTGAGGCTGAAGGACAGCCCTTGCTGCTGCAACAACCGGTGCCCCAGTGGCTGCTGCAACAACCGGTGCCCCGAACCAATGCGCGTGCCCAGGGGATAGCTGAAGAAGCTGCTCGGAAGGAGGAAACAGCGGGTGGTGGGGGTGAGGGGGGAAGAGAGTACAGCGCTTTGGAAAACCATCCTACTCCATTCCATATCCACAGGGAAAGCCACTTGATGGTTCACAGTCAGCCGCATGGTCCTCTGGACATACCGCCACTTGGGCTTCAGAATAGCCGGATTGTACTTGAGCAGAGGCGGAAACTGCACCACCATGCTCCCCACATTCTCCCCCACCTCTACCCGTTCTTCACCGCACTGGACCTGACTGCACCACAGGAAACATGCCATACTGCACTCACCGTGGGAAGGCAACCAGATGGTCGACGGTCAACCGCATCGTCTGCTGGAAATACCGCCACTTGGGTTTGAGGATAGCCGGATTATATTTGAGCAGAGGGGGAAACTGCACCACCATGCTCCCCACATCCTCCCTCACTACCCCCATGGACAGCAGGAAGCGCACTAGCGGACGAAGCTTGTCGTCCAGATGGCACGCCACCAGGTCCGGCCGAGCCACCACGACCTTCCAGACCTCGTGGTCCGGAACTCCTGCTTCGGTGACGAGGAACCGAACCTGAGGAAGGGGGATTGGTGCAATGCAGGAAGGGGAAATGATCGATCAGGCTTGTGTGAACTGCCGGTGGTAGGTATTAGCAGATGCAGAAGTCGTTTGCGGGGCCCAACTAAGCCAAGTGGAGGGGCAGGCAAATCTCCGTATCCATCACAGGACAGAACAGAACATCTCAGGTGCACTAAAGGCTGAATGTAGATGCGGGCGGGTGGAAAGCGGTGCAAACATCCAACGTTGTGATGTACTGCTGTCAACTCGGCTACTAGTAGCATCTGTCAGCGTGAGTGAGATGGTGAGTTGCGACAGAGGGCGGTGAGGGGGTGGACAGGGCAGGGCAGGAGGCGGATAGGCTGAGCGCCAACAGCTGGGGGCGGCGCACAATCACCTTTGCGAGGCCCACTCCTCCAACATGTAGCGACTCGAAGAAGGCGAGCTGCAACAGAGGGCGGTGAGGGGGTGGACAGGGCAGGGCAGGAGGCGGATAGGCTGAGCGCCAACAGCTGGGGGCGGCGCACAATCACCTTTGCGAGGCCCACTCCTCCAACATGTAGCGACTCGAAGAAGGCGAGCTGCAACAGAGGGCGGTGAGGGGGTGGACAGGGCAGGGCAGGAGGCGGATAGGCTGAGCGCCAACAGCTGGGGGCGGCGCACAATCACCTTTGCGAGGCCCACTCCTCCAACATGTAGCGACTCGAAGAAGGCGAGCTGCAACAGAGGGCGGTGAGGGGGTGGACAGGGCAGGGCAGGAGGCGGATAGGCTGAGCGCCAACAGCTGGGGGCGGCGCACAATCACCTTTGCGAGGCCCACTCCTCCAACATGTAGCGACTCGAAGAAGGCGAGCTGCAACAGAGGGCGGTGAGGGGGTGGACAGGGCAGGGCAGGAGGCGGATAGGCTGAGCGCCAACAGCTGGGGGCGGCGCACAATCACCTTTGCGTGGCCCACTCCTCCAACATGTAGCGACTCGAAGAAGGCGAGCTGCAACAGAGGGCGGTGAGGGGGTGGACAGGGCAGGGCAGGAGGCGGATAGGCTGAGCGCCAACAGCTGTGGACGGCGCACGATCACCTTTGCGAGGCCCACTCCTCCAACATGTAGCGACTCGAAGAAGGCGAGCTGCAACAGAGGGCGGTGAGGGGGTGGACAGGGCAGGGCAGGAGGCGGATAGGCTGAGCGCCAACAGCTGGGGGCGGCGCACAATCACCTTTGCGAGGCCCACTCCTCCAACATGTAGCGACTCGAAGAAGGCGAGCTGCAACAGAGGGCGGTGAGGGGGTGGACAGGGCAGGGCAGGAGGCGGATAGGCTGAGCGCCAACAGCTGTGGACGGCGCACGATCACCTTTGCGAGGCCCACTCCTCCAACATGTAGCGACTCGAAGAAGGCGAGCTGCAACAGAGGGCGGTGAGGGGGTGGACAGGGCAGGGCAGGAGGCGGATAGGCTGAGCGCCAACAGCTGGGGGCGGCGCACAATCACCTTTGCGAGGCCCACTCCTCCAACATGTAGCGACTCGAAGAAGGCGAGCTGCAACAGAGGGCGGTGAGGGGGTGGACAGGGCAGGGCAGGAGGCGGATAGGCTGAGCGCCAACAGCTGGGGGCGGCGCACAATCACCTTTGCGAGGCCCACTCCTCCAACATGTAGCGACTCGAAGAAGGCGAGCTGCAACAGAGGGCGGTGAGGGGGTGGACAGGGCAGGGCAGGAGGCGGATAGGCTGAGCGCCAACAGCTGGGGGCGGCGCACAATCACCTTTGCGAGGCCCACTCCTCCAACATGTAGCGACTCGAAGAAGGCGAGCTGCAACAGAGGGCGGTGAGGGGGTGGACAGGGCAGGGCAGGAGGCGGATAGGCTGAGCGCCAACAGCTGGGGGCGGCGCACAATCACCTTTGCGAGGCCCACTCCTCCAACATGTAGCGACTCGAAGAAGGCGAGCTGCAACAGAGGGCGGTGAGGGGGTGGACAGGGCAGGGCAGGAGGCGGATAGGCTGAGCGCCAACAGCTGGGGGCGGCGCACAATCACCTTTGCGAGGCCCACTCCTCCAACATGTAGCGACTCGAAGAAGGCGAGCTGCAACAGAGGGCGGTGAGGGGGTGGACAGGGCAGGGCAGGAGGCGGATAGGCTGAGCGCCAACAGCTGTGGACGGCGCACGATCACCTTTGCGAGGCCCACTCCTCCAACATGTAGCGACTCGAAGAAGGCGAGCTGCAACAGAGGGCGGTGAGGGGGTGGACAGGGCAGGGCAGGAGGCGGATAGGCTGAGCGCCAACAGCTGGGGGCGGCGCACAATCACCTTTGCGAGGCCCACTCCTCCAACATGTAGCGACTCGAAGAAGGCGAGCTGCAACAGAGGGCGGTGAGGGGGTGGACAGGGCAGGGCAGGAGGCGGATAGGCTGAGCGCCAACAGCTGGGGGCGGCGCACAATCACCTTTGCGAGGCCCACTCCTCCAACATGTAGCGACTCGAAGAAGGCGAGCTGCAACAGAGGGCGGTGAGGGGGTGGACAGGGCAGGGCAGGAGGCGGATAGGCTGAGCGCCAACAGCTGGGGGCGGCGCACAATCACCTTTGCGAGGCCCACTCCTCCAACATGTAGCGACTCGAAGAAGGCGAGCTGCAACAGAGGGCGGTGAGGGGGTGGACAGGGCAGGGCAGGAGGCGGATAGGCTGAGCGCCAACAGCTGGGGGCGGCGCACAATCACCTTTGCGAGGCCCACTCCTCCAACATGTAGCGACTCGAAGAAGGCGAGCTGCAACAGAGGGCGGTGAGGGGGTGGACAGGGCAGGGCAGGAGGCGGATAGGCTGAGCGCCAACAGCTGGGGGCGGCGCACAATCACCTTTGCGAGGCCCACTCCTCCAACATGTAGCGACTCGAAGAAGGCGAGCTGCAACAGAGGGCGGTGAGGGGGTGGACAGGGCAGGGCAGGAGGCGGATAGGCTGAGCGCCAACAGCTGGGGGCGGCGCACAATCACCTTTGCGAGGCCCACTCCTCCAACATGTAGCGACTCGAAGAAGGCGAGCTGCAACAGAGGGCGGTGAGGGGGTGGACAGGGCAGGGCAGGAGGCGGATAGGCTGAGCGCCAACAGCTGTGGACGGCGCACGATCACCTTTGCGAGGCCCACTCCTCCAACATGTAGCGACTCGAAGAAGGCGAGCTGCAACAGAGGGCGGTGAGGGGGTGGACAGGGCAGGGCAGGAGGCGGATAGGCTGAGCGCCAACAGCTGGGGGCGGCGCACAATCACCTTTGCGAGGCCCACTCCTCCAACATGTAGCGACTCGAAGAAGGCGAGCTGCAACAGAGGGCGGTGAGGGGGTGGACAGGGCAGGGCAGGAGGCGGATAGGCTGAGCGCCAACAGCTGTGGACGGCGCACGATCACCTTTGCGAGGCCCACTCCTCCAACATGTAGCGACTCGAAGAAGGCGAGCTGCAACAGAGGGCGGTGAGGGGGTGGACAGGGCAGGGCAGGAGGCGGATAGGCTGAGCGCCAACAGCTGGGGGCGGCGCACAATCACCTTTGCGAGGCCCACTCCTCCAACATGTAGCGACTCGAAGAAGGCGAGCTGCAACAGAGGGCGGTGAGGGGGTGGACAGGGCAGGGCAGGAGGCGGATAGGCTGAGCGCCAACAGCTGGGGGCGGCGCACAATCACCTTTGCGAGGCCCACTCCTCCAACATGTAGCGACTCGAAGAAGGCGAGCTGCAACAGAGGGCGGTGAGGGGGTGGACAGGGCAGGGCAGGAGGCGGATAGGCTGAGCGCCAACAGCTGTGGACGGCGCACGATCACCTTTGCGAGGCCTATCCGCCTCCTGCCCGCAACTCCTCTAACACTCCTCTAACACTCCTCTAACACTCCTCTAACACTCCTCTAACACTCCTCTAACACTCCTCTAACACTCCTCTAACACTCCTCTATCACTCCTCTAACACTCCTCTAACACTCCTCTAACACTCCTCTAACACTCCTCTAACACTCCTCTAACACTCCTCTAACATGTACACCACTGTGCGAGCCTGCCAGCTCCCCAACAGCTTGAGCAACGGGTGGTGCTGGAAAGAGTCTGGCGGGACTCCGGCCTGTGTCTCACCTTCCCCTGCATGAATCCTTGAAACGATTTTACCCTACCTTGGCCTGCGGTGCCTCCATGGGTAGACCCTCGTCGCTCATCACGCGCGGGTGGTTGTACACCACTGTGCCCGCCAACTCTTTCCCCCACGGCGGGTGGTGCTGGAAGGATTTCGCCAGGACCCTGAAATTAGTCTGGAGAGAGCCTGGAAGGAGAGTGCCATGTCGCTCACCTTGGCCTGTAGCGCCTCCATGGGTAGATCCTCGTCGCTCATCACATGCGGGTGGTTGTACACCACTGTGCCGGCCAGCTCCCCCACGCTCTTGGGCAGCGGGTGGTGCTGGAAGGAGTCAGTACGGAGCCTGTAACGAGTCTGGATGGACTCCAGCTATCACCTCACCTTTCCTTGTAGCGCCTCCATGGGCAAGTCATCATCGCTCATCACGTGAGGGTGGTTGTACACCACTGTACCCGCCAGCTCCCACACGCTCTTGGGCAGCGGGTGGTGCTGGAAGGAGTCTGGCAGGCGGAGAGACGCCGGGACGTCTCGAGATGCCAGAGGTGGGAGAGATAGAACCAGCGACTCTGATTCTTCTGCTGCTGCTCTTTGCTCTGGTTCTGATCTTATGTCTGCTGCTGCTCTTCTGTCTGCTGCTGCCGCTGCTGCTGCTGCTGCTGCTGCTGCTGCTGCTGGTGGGATTGCGGCTGTTGCTGTTGCCTCCCCTTTCCTTCCCTCCCTCCTCTCCCCCTCGCTTTCCTCCCTCTCCTCCCTCCACTCTCTCAACCTTGCCTCCTCCTCCCATTCCGCCTCTCGCGCCCTCCTCTCCCGCTCCCGCTCCTCCCACTGCTCCCGCTGCTGCGTTGCCAGCGGCTCAAGCACAGCATGCAGCAGCCGCCCCTTTCCTAAAAGCTTCTCAAACGGATCCACCAGCACGCCTGGCGCCTTGCTGAGCACCACTCCTATCCACTCCCTCCTCACACCCACTTGCCTCTCCAGGTAGTCCACTTGAGCCTGGAGCAAGGGAGAATATCCGACGAGATACACAGGAGATTCGATAAGATAGAAGGCTCACAGCAGCACGCCTGGCGCGTTGCTGAGCACCACTCCTATCCACTCCCTGCGCACGCCCACTTGGTTGACTTTAAGATGCCTCACAAACACCCTCTCTACACGTGGCTATTCTCTATCTGGTTGACCAGGTAGTCAGTCTAATCGGGCCTGAAAACCAAGTGGGCGTGCAGAGGAGAAAGATGCATGCGGGAAAAGGGGAGGCGATCGCTGTAATCCTATCCCGCACACACACCACGCCACTCCACCGCTCCCTCTGCTCACACTCATCTCCCCTCGCTGCACCAGCATTGGCAGCAGCATCACAAGGCACGCATCACACGGCACGCATCACAAGGCACGCATCACAAGGCACGCATCACAAGGCACGCATCACACGGCACGCATCACAAGGCACGCATCACAAGGCACGCATCACAAGGCACGCATCACACGGCACGCAGCTGCCAACTCTACTCGGACCTGAAAACCAAGTCGGCGGGCAGTGGAGAAGATGCGTGCGGGAAGACTCGTGAACGTGTGAGAGGGTTCAGGGATAATACGGGAATACCTGAAGGTGATGGATGGGTGTGGAGAGGATGGCAGGGTTGCGCACGGCAATGCGCCCCACCACATCATGCTTCACCCCTGCTCGTGCAACCACTCGACGTAATCCCTCGCCCACACCACGCCACTTCGCACTACACCCCACCCGCCCGCCGACGTACCTGAAGGTCATGAATGGGCGTGGCGAGGATGGCAGGGTTGCGGACAACGATGCGCCCCACCACATCATGCTTCACCCCTGCCCGGTGCAACCACTCTATGTAATCCCTCACCCACACCACGCCACTCCGCCGCTCCTGCTCCTCCCCCTCACGCCGCCCATCTCGTCTGGCAAGGGCATTTTCCCCGACAGCAGAAACAGCATCAGCTTCATCAGAATCATCACGAGCATGCATGGCAGCAGCAAGCGTGATGAGGGCGCCAGTGCGGGCGAAGGTTTGCTTGGCTGTCTGCTTCAGCCACCGCGCGAGCAGATGCGGTGCAGAGCGGTGCACTGCGATGGCCGCGCGGTGGGGGAAGGAGTGGAAGGCGTAGTGGGAATTGGACTTGAGGGCTACAGCCTGGGGAAGGGGATGGGGGGGTGGGGGGAAGAGAGGGAGGGGAAGGGGGAAGAAAACGTGTCCGGTTCTGTTTTGACACATTCACCCCAACACACTTTCACCTGTACGAACGCTGGCATCATTGCCACTACAAGAGATCCCACCAGGAATGCAAGTGGAGTCTTACCTGAAAAAACACCTGAACTCCACATGGAAATGCACCTGAAACCCCACCAGGAACCCACCTGGAGGTTTACCTGGAAAACCATTCTAAAAGGCACCTGGGGTCTCACCTGACAAGGCACCTGAAGCCTCAACTGGAGGACGAGCTGGTCGATGAAGGCAGGGAGGTGTCTGACCAGCTCTCTGGAATACACCTTCCCCAGCTTCACCTCCACAAACGCTGACATCAGCACCACTACTAGAGATCACTTGGAGATTAACCAGGAAACCCCAACAAAACCTCTCCTAACTAAAACCTACCTGAAACCCAACCCACCTAGAGACCTACCTGAGAGAGACATAGAAAACCCAGTTGAAGACACCTGAGAAAGCACCTTGCAAAACCCACCTGGAGCACGAGCTGGTCGATATAGGCAGGGAGGTGCCGGATGAGCTCCCTGGAATACACCTTCCCCAGTTTCACCTCCTCGAATGCTGACATCAGCACCGCCCGCACCACCTTGCGCCTCTCCTGCAGCGCGAGCGCCACAGGACTGTCCCGGGAAACTTCCAGGCTGCTTCCGCTGCTCGTTCTGCTGCTCCCGCTGCTGCTGCCGCTACTTCTGCTTCTGCTGCTGCTCTGAGACGGCAAGGAGGGAATGCCGTTTTCAGAAAATTCCAGCCTGGGTATTCTAGAGGCCTCCAGAGGGGCATTAGAACAGCTGCTATTGCCATCCCTGGTGCTGCAACTGTCGCTGCTGCTTCTCTTGGTGCTGGTACTGTTGATGCCCGTTTTGCCCAGGGTCAAACTGGAAACACCATCACCATCAACATCACCACCACCATCGCCATCAGCAGCAGCACTGCTGCCTGCGCGTGTGATCCCCGCCTCCTTCTCATCCCATGGCCACTGCTCCTTCTGAATGATTCTTGACTGCCCTGCCAGCCCGCCGCCCTTTGAAGCCCTGTCAGGGGAAGGAGCCGGGCTCGCAGCACTTTGAAGCCCTGGTGCGTGTGATTCTGCTGTGCCTCGCTCTGCAGTGTCTATTGCTCCTGATGCTACTGCTGGTGCTTGAAATTTGGCTTCCTCTGCTGCGTGTGTTTCTGCTGTGTCCGGCTCTGCAGCGTCTGATGCTGATGCTTCCACGACTGGTGCTCGTGTGGGGGGACCATCACCCACACCCACCAGGAGTTGTTCCTCTGCTTCTGCCACTGCTGGCACTGCTCTGTCAGGGGAATGTGACTGCTGGTAGAATACAGCTGAAATTGAAGAAACTCCAGCCACGACAGCTGTGGATGCACCATAGAAAGACCCATCACCAGTGGCCGTAGTGACACCACATGCTGCTCCACATGCTGATAGCCGTTGCTCATCCGATACATCAGCGCCTGCGGCCACCGCCCCCATGGTTGCACCACCGGAAGACCCACCATCTGCTGCTGCGGTTGATGATACAACGTCCTCCCATGGATACACCTCTTCTCTTCCCTTTCTCTCTACTCCTCCTTCTCCTTCCATGCCTTCTCCATCCATCTCTAACCCCCTCGCTCTTCTCTCACCTTCCTCCTCAGAACCCCCATCCCGTGCATTCCTCCCATCCCCACCACTCCCCCCATCCTCCTCCTCCATCCACCACGCCCGCTTGCCTCGTTTCTCCCAAGAAGGAGCCACCCACGTTTCCATTCGGCTACTGCTCGCCCTTTGTGCCACCCCCCCTCCTCTCCCTTCTGCTCCCCGTGCTCTCGATTCCCCATTCCCTCTCTTCCCCCACGAAGGCGCCACCCACGCGTCTGTACTACTGCTGCTGCTGCTGCTGCTGCTGCTGCTGCTGCTGCTGCTGCTGCTGCTGCTGCTGCTGCTGCTGCTGCTGCTGCTGCTGCTGCTCCTGCTGCTGCTCGCCCTTTGCGCCCCTCCTCCTCCTCCTCCTCCTCCTCTCACCTCTGTTTCCCTTGCTCTCAGCTCCTCATTCCCTCTTCTCTCCCACGACGGACCCACCCACGCGTCTGTACTGCTTCTTCTGCTGCTGCTTCTCACTCCTTGCTCCCCTCCTCCTCTCTCCCGCTGCCGCCTCTGCACTCCAGTCACCCGTGCCTCTGCCTCCTCTCAAGCCCTCCTTATTCCCGCCTTTTTCCCGCAACGGACCCTCCCATGTGTCCGCTCTGCTTCTGCTGCTCGCTCCTTGCGCCACTCCTCCTCCTCCTCCTCCTCCTCCTCTCCCCTCTTCAGCCCTTCCACATGAGTCCATATCGCCTTCACTCGCCCCCCCCTGCCCCTCTTCATCTCCTCTTCTCTCTGCCGCCTCCCTCTCCCCTGCCTCCCCCCTCCCCCGTGTCGTCTCCCTTTTCTCCACTACGCCTCTGCGCCACACTGCGCCCTTCGCTGCATCCGCTCCGCCTCGTCTTGCCCCCTCCCGCGCGGTCCATCTCCGCCCCTCCCCTAGCGCATTCCGCCCCTCCCCCGGTGTACCCCGCCCCTCCCCTAGAGCAGTTCCTCCCTCTCCCACCGCATTCCGCCCCTCCGCACCGGCTCCCTCCCCCGCTTCCCACACATCCGGAAGCCTCCTCCGCTGCCCTCCGCCGCTCCGACCGCCATTAGTCGACCAATCGCGCTCATCTATCGCGCACATGGTTATCCTTCTCTGATTGGCTGAAATAGCCGGAAATTCTACTCTAACCCATGGGTATTCTAATCTGATCGCGCTCGTCAGAGTGTCAGTTCGAATGATTGTTCTAAACGGGTAGTTTCCGGCCGGTATTTGCGCTCGAGCCGCCGACATTCGCGCTCGGTCCGCTGGTATTCGCGCGAGTGTGGTTGCGGGAAGTGCCATGCGGCTTCGAAACGGGTGATGATGTTTTCGTAGGGTGGAAACGGCGAACGGAGATGCCGAGTATGATCGCGCGGAGCACGCGCCTTGAACAGACATGGCGACGAAACGGCGTCGACGGGACCACGACAATGCTGCTCAACTACATACGCGATGGCTGCGATGCGAATTTGAGCTGTTCACGCCGGGCCGGAATCATTGAGGGCGGTGGTGGTGTGTATGAGCAAACCGCGCGGAAAACTGGCTGATGGACGCGAACTCGTTAGTGACATTCTTGATTTCGCGGGGAAACAAAACCTAAACAAAAAACGAAAAGTAAATAGATTCAGTTACAGAACAAGGCAAACAAAATCTCTGTGGTAAAAAACTTGGTGAAACGTGCCTGTTGAAAGCTCTTGTGACAACAAAGAAGCATGACACATAATTTCCTCTAAAATGGCAAAGAACTCAGACAGGGTTTTTTTTTCCCCGAAGGTCCACACTGCTTCAGTCTTGCCCCACCATTGCCCTGGTCCTGTCACATCCCCCCATATTCTGGTTATATCTCCTCCCCACCATAACCCCCCGAGCCCAGGTAGTCCCTATGTGTCCCAGAAATCGCCTGCGCGCATGCCAGAGGCCGTCCCCTCAACCCCCAATCCCTGCCAGAGCCGTTCCAGAAACTTGCAGAAAATGCAATAGCGCCACATTCTGCTCACATCTCTCCGCCGTACCCTCCCGGCCCCAAATAGTCCTTGTGGTTCCCAGAGATGGCCTGCGTCTTCTGGTGCTCCAGCTTGGGGCACTCGGTGATGCGATGGCCCAGCCCGCCACAGAAGGCACACCCGCGCACGCCACTTGCCGTCCCCTCACCCCCAGAGCTCTGCCAGAGCTGTGCCAAACGCTTCCAGAAAGCCATGCAATAGTCCCACACTGTGCTCACATCTCTCCTCCATACCCCCCTGACCCCAGGTAGTCCTTTTGCGTGCCCGAGATGGCCTGCGTGTTCTGGTGCTCTAGCTTGGGGCACTCGCTGATGCGATGGCCCAGCCCGCCACAGAAGGCACACCCGCGCACGCCAGAGGCGGCAGCGAGCGCCTCTGCGTCCTCCATGGGATCGTCCAGGGAGGCCAGCACGGGGGGGATGCGCTGCTTGGCTTCTCGCAGCAGATGCTTCAGATCCAGCAGAATCGTCTCGCTCTGTTGCAGGTACGGAGGGGGAGTGGGAGCAGGGGAAGCAGGGAAAGCGGGAGAACCAGGAGGGGAACGCAGGGGTTGAAATCTGCTGTTTTTCGGGATGAGGGGGGTGGGTGGGTGGGTGGGTGGGTGGGTGGGTGGGTGGGTGCAGCAGGGACACAAGGCACGGCACACGGCGCCGGCATGTCATAATGGGGTGCGGCGCACGTGCTGAATATCCGGGAAATCCAACCCCTTCTCCACCACATCCGTTGCTCAGCACTGCACCGCACCAACCTGGACCCCTCAGAACCGCACTGCACCCACCTGGACCCCTCAGCACCGCACTGCACCCACCTGAACCCTTCAGCACCGCACTGCACCCACCTGGACCCCTCAGCACTGCACTGCACTCACCTGGACCCCTCAGCACCCCACCTGGACCCCTCAGCACCGCACTGCACCCACCTGAACCCCTCAGCACCGCACTGCACCCACCTGGACCCCTCAGCACAGCACTGCACCCACCTGGACCCTTCAGCACTGCACTGCACCCACCTGGACCCCTCAGCACCACACTGCAGCGCACTCACCTGGTTCTTGTTGATGAAGGTTGTTGCAATGCCAGTCTTCCCACAGCGCCCCGTGCGCCCAATGCGGTGAACATAGTTCTCAATCTCAGCCGGCATGTCATAGTTCACCACGTGCTGAATATCCGGGAAATCCAGCCCCTTGGACGCCACATCCGTAGCCACCAGCACATCCTTCCTCCCGGCCTTAAACGCCGCGATCGCCGCCTCTCGCTCCTCCTGATCCTTCCCTCCGTGCACCGCCACCGCCTCTACTCCCTTGAGCAGCAAGTACTCGTGAATGTCGTCCACGTCCACCTTGTTCTCGCAGAAAATCAGCACCGGGGGCGGCGTTTTTTGGAGGCATTCCAGGAGGTACACAATCTTGGCCTCCTGCTTCACATACTCCACCTCCTGAATCACGTCCAGATTCGCTGCACCTGCGCGCCCCACGTTCACCATCACAGGCTTCACCAGCGCGCTTTTCGCAAACGCCTGGATTTTCTTCGGCATGGTGGCGGAAAAGAGCAGCGTCTGTCGCTGGGCTTTAAAGTGGTCGAATACCTCTCTAATATCGTCCTCGAATCCCAGATCGATGAGCCTGTCGGCTTCATCTAAGCAGAGGTATTTGCAGATGTCCAGGTTCATGCGCTTTTTGTTAAGCAAGTCTTTTAGGCGGCCGGGAGTGGCGACCACCATGTGCACTCCACGCTTGACCACCTCCAGCTGCTGCCGCATGTCGATGCCTCCTATGCACAGCATGCTGCGCAGCTCTGGGTACCTGGGAATGGAAATAGGGGAGAACAGGGGAGGCACGGGGAGGAAGGGGAGGCAACGCATGATGAGGCACGAGGGGTGAGGGAGCAGGAAGCTCCTTACCCAGGAAGTGATCGTGTGCCCTTCCAGGAAGCTCGATCACCTCCAGCTCTCCCTTTTCAATCAACTCTAGGTCTCCCCCCTCCCACCTCCTCACCCATCTCACTCCCCCTGCGTGCCCTTCCCCCATCAAACTCACCGCTCTCTGCGGTCGTTCCTGAGAGCATCAGCAAACTCGTTCACCACGTCGTACGTCTGCCGGGCGAGCTCCCTGGAGGGGCACACGATGAGCCCCGTGGGGCCCTCCCCTGCTACCAGCGGCATGCGCACCTCCTCCTGCAGTGCCTGGGCGGATGTAAGGTTTTCAGGGGAGGGGAAGGAAGGGGGAGATTGTGTTAGTGGGGGGGAAAGATGGAGACAGAACAGCGTGTGCCGGGCGAGCTCCCTGGAGGGGCACACGATGAGCCCCTATGGGCCCTCCCCTGCCACCAGCGGCATCCGCACCTCCTCCTGCTGAGCCTGCCGTGGGGTGGTTGAAGGGGGAGCGGGTCAGGAGATTGCCAGGGAAAGGGGTAGAATGGGTAAGAAGAAGGGCGGAGGAGAGACAACAGCGTGTGCCGGGCGAGCTCCCTGGACTGGCATACAGTGAGCCCTGTGGGGCCCTTCCCTGCTACTACCGGCAGCAATCGCACCTCCTCCTGCAGCGCCTGGTATGGTGTGAAGAAGAGAGGAGAAGGTGCAAGGGCAGCGTTGGTCAATCGCAATCGCAGAAAGGAAGGCAGAGGGGGGGAGTGAGGGGGAGACGAATACTGGTTAATATTCTTTCTGGACTGGAAGGAAGGACAGTGAGCAATGTGGCCTGGCCAGGCTAGCCCCCTCATCTGCTACAGCAAGCAGTGCAAAGCTTCACATTCAGCACAACGGGCAGCAAAAACACTCACATTGAGTACAGTGGGCAGTAACAATACCTCACATCGAGCACCGTGGGCAGAAAAAATACCTCACATTAAATACCGCGGGCAGATAAAACACTCACATTGAGCACCATAGGCAGCGCAAAGACGAGCGTTTTTCCGGATCCAGTGAAAGCAATGCCGATGATGTCCCTCCCCTCCAGCACCGCAGGCATTCCCTGCACCTGCACGGAGAGATTTGAAGCGGTTCAAGGGAGTGCAGATCAACACAGAGCGGTTGAGGGTCCCTCCCCTCCTCCAGCACACCTGGCATTCCCTGCACCTGCAAAGAGAGTGATTAAGAGTGGCATGGAGAGGTATGACGCAGTACAGAGGGGTGCAGAGCAACACAAGGCGATTGAGTGGGTCCTTATTCTCCAGCACATCCGCCATGCCCTGCACCTGCATGGAGAGCTATGAAGGGGTACAAAGGGGTATAGACCAACCAAGGCCGGGCGGTTGGGATTTCAAGGGTCTGGCGGGAGTGTGCACGCACGGATGGGCGTGGAGGGGGGATGCTGACCCATCTAGATGGGCGTGGAGGAGTGAGCGCACGCACCCGCACCCACCCACCTGGAAGGGAATCAAGGGAGCACACACCTGGATGGGCGTGGGGGGGGTGTGAGCAGCACCTACCTGGATGAGCGAGCACCGGAGCCCACCTGGATGGGCGTGGGGCGCAGGATGCCTTTCTTCTTGAGCACGCGCAGGCAGGGCTCGGGTAGGCGCATGTCTTTGAAGCTCTTGATGGGCGGCGGCACCTGCTCGCCGTCCACCAGGATGTGCCACGCCTTCCGGATCTCCGCCCGCTCCTCCTCGCTCATGCCTCGGATGTGGCTCGGCGGCTTCCAACCCGTCCACAGAGGCTCGGTGTACTGTGGTGTGTGTGGGGGCGGGGGCGACGGCAGGACCGGACCGGGGGAGCGGGAGGGAGAGGGGATGAGGGGAAGGGGGGGGGGGGAATGAGAAAAGAGGGTTTGTTTGGCTTCTCCTTGACCTTTTCCTCCTCCTCGCCCATGCCTCGGATGTGTCTCGGTGGCTTCCAACCCGTCCACCGAGGCTCGGCGTGAGGTGTGGAGAGAGGAGCGGCAAGCAGCAGGTAGAAGCTACGGGTGTTCTGAGAGTGGAGTGGAATAGCCCCTCAGAACGCCCGTCGCTTCATGTGGCAGGCTTAGCGGCTGCTCAGGGCCCCTGAAGGCATATAATGTGGGTTCTGACTGCATTGAAAGCCCTTATCAAGCCCCTCAATTCACCTGAAAGCCCTTATCAAGCCCCTCAATTCACCTGGAAGCCCTTATCAAGCCCCTCAATTCACCTGAAAGCCCTTATCAAGCCCCTCAATTCACCTGGAAGCCCTTATCAAGCCCCTCAATTCACCTGGAAGCCCTTATCAATCTCCATGACGCACCTGGATACCCTTGACGCACCCAGAATGCCTATAACGAGGGTTTTGAACGCACCTGGATGCCCTTGGCGAGTTCTTTCACGCTCATGAGGGTCTTGCGGTCGCTCAGTCGTTCGAACATCTCCTTCTCCTCCGCCAGCACCTGCTCCGTGTGGCTCAGCTCCGGCACATCCTTCTTCAGCAATGTCGCCTTCACCAGCAGGCTCGGCCGAGCCTCCGGCCCAGCTCCGGCGCCGTCCTCCCCGTCGCCGGCTCCTTCCCCCTCCCCGCCTCCGCCGGCTCCGCTGCCCTTTGCGCCCAGCGCTATACCGCGCTCGGCTGCTCGCGCTGCCAAGAGCCGTTGCTGTTCCATAAGGCGTCGCTTCTTAACGGGGATGTACTCCTCGTAATCCTCCTCCTCCTCTCTCTCCTCCTCGTCCGCCTTCCCGTCCCCGTCCCGCTCGCGATTCCCGCCGCTTTCTGCGGCGCGATAGTAGCGCCTCTTACCTCCTCCCTCGCCATCATCCCTCGCCGCCTCTTGACTCTGCGACCTCCCGTTGCTTCCCCCTCCGAGACCCTCTCGTTCGTCCCCTCTCTTAACCTCCCCCCCTCGTCCGTCCCCTCTTTTCGTGTCTCGCTCCTGCGTGAGAGCCTCGTCCCCTTCGTCGCCTTCATAAATCGTCTCCAGACCCTTCATTGCTGCCGAGCAGCAGCACGAGCAGCACGAGCAGCACGAGCAGCAGCACGAGCAGCACGAGCAGCACGAGCAGCACGAGCAGCACGAGCAGCACGCGCAGCACGCGCAGCAGTGTAGGAAAACGCTACGCTGTCACTTCACTCCGCAGTAGGTAGGATGGTACACGACTTTGAGTAAAAAACAGCTATCAGAAACTTCGCAGCGGCGAATATGAGAGGTTCTGCGCAACTTTAAGAGGTACTATCTCTAAATTCCGACTAGAATACGCAGCGGATAAGAAGGGTTCTTAGCACTACGGATAGGCTAAGATGCTTCCGTCCAATAGTCGGAAACCTAGAGCTGGGTCGACGAACTTGCGTGCGTCGTGTACCTCTGGCCGTTTGTCCCTACTAAGAAGTTCGTAACCAGAATATGGGTTCTTACTACGCAGGAGATGCACAGAAACGACGCGCGTAAATCTGAGACACGCGGTCGCCTTGTCACAACGACGCGCGTAAATTAGGAGGTTCCCAAGAAAGACCTTCCTCACCACTCTCGCATTTCTTGGGGGGAACGGAAGTGCGAGGCCAGCCTTGATAGCTTTGTAACTATTCGCGTTAAAATCATATGAATGGTGGAGTGTATGCACTGAACAAGTCCGCGGACGCTGCATGAGTAAACCAAATATATTTAGGAAGCAATTGTGAATGGACCTCTGCTTTTGTTGGTTACATTGCAAGAGGTCTCAGCTTCTGCTTGCCTAAGTCTTGAATTCAAGAAGCACAACATGCCATCTCACCAGCATGGCAAAATAATAGATTGAATGGTTTGGTTTCAAAACCAGGTTAGTGAATTATATACACAAGCAGTATGCCTGATTGTAGGACAGAGGGGAAAGCCAAAACTGTCAGGACTCAGGGCATGATGTAATCATGGCTCTTAAATTCCACATTTGTTGTGGAAGCGGCGCACTGCACTGTTGCTGCTGCATATGAGGCCAGAAGAGTACAAGGCCATACACAAGAAAGGATGTCGGGGATGTTGCTGCTACGGAATCGCATGAATGCTGCTGTGGGTGGACCACTCTCGTTCGTGCCCTTATTGTGCAATCCACTTGTGTTTTGCTGCAATTCCTAGCCCATACCAGTGCAGGTCAGGGCTCGGAGCCTTGGCTTGGGCCATGCAGGAGACAGGCAGTGGGGCCTGTGAATGCTGCTGCTGCAGCAGCACATGAAAGCTGGTAGCACAGGCAGGGGTCATCAGTGCCTGTGCACTTGCTTCCGAATCCATGGATGCTCTGCCAGAACGATACAGAGCGAGCAATGTCAGCACAAGATTGTTATGGTGATTGAAGAAATTGAAACAGAGCAGTGGAGCGCTATGCAACGCTAGCGAAGATGCTCTGTGCAACACGAGAAGAAGAATAAAAAATACACACACACACACACATACCAAGGATTTCTACAGGAGTGATGCGCTTCTTCCAATCCTTCTCCAGCATCCTCGCTATAAGCTCCTTGCATTCCTCCGACACCCCTCCCCACTTGGCGGGACGAAAAACCACCGGCCGTGTAAGCACTGCCTCAGCTACAGTGCGCTCTGCTGTAGCCCAGAAAGGCGGTACACCACTCATTGCCACGTACATGACTACACCCATGCTCCACACATCCACTGCCGAACCGTATTGCACTCCATGTTCCCGTGGTGTAGAGATCAGTTGGTTGGAATCATCAAAAACAGCTCCCCACATTTCAGGTGCCATGGATTCAGGTGTCCCCACCACATCTGTAATCACCTCCCCTTCAGTCACAAAAGCTGCTGCCCCAAAGTCAGCGAGCTTTATTTTCGTTTCGTCGGAAGCGTCTATAAGGAGGATGTTTTCGGGCTTGATGTCGCGGTGTACTATTCCGTGCATATGGCAGTGTAGCACGGCGTGGGTGAGAGCTTGGCAGAGCTTGGCTCCAGAGGGTTCAGAATACGGCCCGAACTTTGTGATTCTATCGAAGAGGTCTCCCCCTCTGCATAGCTCCATGACAAGGTGAACACCCTGAAATGGAGAGTGAAAGCGGGGAAAGGAAGGAGGGCAGAGAAGAGGTTACAAGGGAGCAAGAAAAGGAGGTTCAGCCACAGTGCATGGTGTTTGAGCGAGAAGGGAGGACGGGAAGGGGGGAGAAGGGAGGAGTAAGTGCATTGGGAGGAGAGGCCCAAGAAGGTGAAAGGAGAACCTGAAAGTAGGTCAGGGGAGGGGTAGAGGAGAGTCATGTGGGCTGGAAAGTCGAGGGATAGAGGGGGGAAGGAGACGAGGGAGAGGGGGGGGAGGAAAGAGGAGCTGCTGAGGGAGTGAGGGAAGGGATAGAACGGGTAGCATGAGAGGGGGCTTGGGAAGGGCGATGGGTTAAGTGAAGTGATCCCTACATACCTTTCTGTCTTCAATCGTGTCATGAAGTGTGACTATATGAGGATGGCCACGTGCCAGCAGCATGCAAGCCACCTCCCGCCTGATGTCATCCGCAGCCTCTGAAACTTTTATTTGATTCTTTTTTATCGTCTTGCACGCGTACACTCGCGCCGTTTCAATCTCCAAGCATTTTCGAACGCTGCCGTACTGCCCGCTTCCAAACTCCCGGTGGTGTACAACGAATCTGGACGCGATGTCCTCGTACGGTTTCAGCAAAACCGAGGTCGATACCGCTGAACAGGATGATCGTCTCGCTGACGCGTACGTGCAGGAAAAATCGTCCGACGAACCACCGCCATCGTGTTTCGCGTCGCTGCGGCACGCGTCCCAACTGCCAGCGTGGCAGCTGTCTCTAGGTCGAGAGCTGCGGTTGCCAAGTGCGTGCTTGCGATAATGTCGCGGCCGCTCCTGTCGCCGCGCGCTTACAGCATTGACGTTTTCCGTTCTGCTCCCGTCCCTCCCTTCATTAGTATCACATCCGTCAGCCTTGCGATGACAATCGTCAATCTGGTTACCAGCAGCACCCGCGTCCTCACACCTGCTCGTCGCGGTAGCACGTGTCGCCGTCACCATAACCCTTTCCTCCCTGTCGCATATGTTTCCTTTTTCATGATGATTCGATTCGCCGTCGGCGTGGATTCCGCCGCCAATCGCGCGAGCCTCTTCTCTCCGCTGCTGTACCGTCCCCGCGCTCCATCGCAAGCTGCGCTGCCTAAGCTCAGCACCCTCCGAAGCCGTCGGGGGTTTCCTCGCTGCTGTTTCCGAGCCTGGTTCCGCCGCGCCGCGTTCGAAGCGCTTTGCGGTTTCCGAGCCTCGGCTTCCGGTCGAGGCTTGTTCAGTCAAAGGCTTTCCGCCGTTGTTGCGCGGTTCCCCCGACAGCAGTTCGCGCACGGTTCTCGAAGCGGCGGAGAAGAGATTAGCCGCGAATGACGGGGAAGGGGAATGGCTCGGCGGAGCGCCGTGATGCGCAATCTCTTGAACCTGCGGCGCCGGTTTTGCCGTTTCTGACGATGGCTGGAAGATAATACTACTCGCGCTACGGAAGTGCCACGTGGATTCGACTCCCTCGCTTGCTGGGCTCGCCAGATCAAAGGACAACTCCGATTGGTCGAACGAGACGCTGGGAATGAACGAGCACTGGCGTTCGAGAGGCGATTTAGGTGAGGATGCGCTGTCGTCGCTAATTGTGGGCATTCGGTCAATTGTAGGCTTCGCGGGAAAGAGACTCCTTGGGCCGTGATTTACAGCTCCTGACGCCATTGCCGAGTCCTCCGTCTCAGAATGATTGGCTGGCATTGTCCGTACTACTAATTTCGCAGTAACAAAGTGCAAGTAAGCTGAATCCACACTAACTCGACGTAATAACTACTTTCAGCAGACAGCTATGCTCCGCTGAATAAAGCCCTCTCTTTCTTCATTGAAGAATGGAATGTCGAGATGGATGGAAAGCCCTGGTCGCAGTAGTGTACTGTCCTGTCGAAGGCGGAGGTGCTAAGGACGAAAATGCTGCTGGGATGGGGTATGCATAATCGCACCAAAAAGTAGAAACCAGTGGCAAAGAAGTGAAGTAACTATGCTGACGTGGAGCAAGTCGTGATGACTGGATGCCTGAGGTACGATGGATATGTTTTCCTCAACACCTCCAAGACAATCAGTAAAGCCTAATGTGTCTGACTACTAAGCCGCCCACCAGACCACCAGGCCATCTGTAATAAAAAGGACGGAGGGACTGTGGTGAACAAAACCAGAGCCAGTGTCCTTCCTACGGAGTTGCGCGAAAGAATAATAAAATCTTGAATTGGTGGTGGCGGAATGCCGCCGCTTGGTGGTGATTGTGGAAGCTAGGAACCAGCTACTTGATGAAGTGAATTGACCAGGATGCGCGGGGAAACAATGATGCCAGAGGAGCAGAAACCGTATGAGAGGAAGATGAGATACACCTGGTCCGCGGTATTTTAACCGCCGGTATCGTAACCAAGTTTGTCGGCACGCTGGGCGTTTCTTGTTGGGTGGCCAGAAATCGCTGTTCACACTTGACCGAACCAAGTTGTAGATTGCCAAGCCTTTTTTTGATATTTCAGCTGGCGCCCTCCACGTGGCAAGCGAATTTCCCCATCCGAATTTTCCAAAAAGAATCGTCACCGTCGATGGTTTTACTTTCCCGACTCTGGAACATTCCAGATGGCGAAAAGAGCCGAATTGCTCCTTTTGAGTAGTGCTGTCAAAACTTTCCATGCTGTTCAGATATTTGGTGGTGAAAATAATGACCGAAATTTTGCACCCTTATCTTCACCACGGCCAGATAATCCAAAATCCTGCTACCCATTTTCGCGCAGTTAAAATACCGCGGACCAGGTGTATGCAAAGCGATTCAGCCGCGTGTAAAATCAACCAACGCGGCAGAAGCCCCCTGATTCTGTTCTGCGCCAGTGCCTGGTTGGGAAAGGGGTTGCTGTTGATTCGGATAGAAAATACACGTTGTATGATGACGAAGTGAGGTCAGCTGATTCTGAGACGATTGGATGGGGACTAGGCAGACTCTGGAAAGGACAGGGCTGCCCGCTTTCAAAAAGCTGGAAGCCTGTCCGCGAGGGAGTACAGTACACTACGAACTGTACACCCATTCACAAAGTATCCAGTGGTGGTCACAGGCGAGAGCTTCTGGTCTGGATGTGCAAAACATGTCTGCTAGGGTTTCAAGTACAAGACCCCTTTCTTGCGGGTGCACCCAAATCCAAACCAAAGGGGCACGCTGACGGTGCTAAAGAGTACACGTCATCACTCCAGTGGTGCTGGATCCAGCCGTTGAATCCGCGTCACGGAATGTCACACGGGGGAAACGTGCAGGTGCCCGCCTGAACTGTGGTGGTGAGGGAAGGGAGAAGCAAGTCACGAGGGTTTTCAGCTTAGCGGGGACAGGTATCCCGACCCCTTCGCTTTCAGGGACCAAGAATGTTTTGAAGCGGAATCGAGTGCGCCATCGCCTGGGGTCTAACCTCTTTGATCCAGCCTGGCCAGACCCTTGTGACCCATGGGCGCAAGGCTCCGCCACAAAGGACAATGCCAACCGCCCAAACTTGCGCGCGACATCTGCCCGCGAAAATCCTCTTTTGTCCAACCTGCCCATGACTCGGACACTGTGCTTAGGGTCACGCGAAATCACCGCCTTCGCCAGCGTAACTTCCTGGCCGACTGTTGACGGGCGTTGGTCGCTGGGCCGGTTGCGACCAAATGGCCGTCTCTACGTCCTTATTGGCTTTAACGTGTACAGTTGCGTTTGACGTGGTTTTATACGTATCACTTTGTAATTTGGTTTCCAATGATGTGTCTTTTGTACTCGTTTGTTACTTGTGTTCTGAGCACATCTGTACACCACATCTCCCAGACAATGCCAACGCGTTTTAACACATCACATTTTCGACCGCCCTAGCTCACGCACCTCTGCGTGGAGTCAACAGCATTGACTCATCGCGCAGTGTGCGACTAATTCATTTGAACACGAAATATGTTTCCCTACGCGTTTTGCCTCATCTCCACCACCCTTCCTTTCTAAACACACTATAGCGTCAACTACACTGTGTTGGCCACTTTTCTGAGTAGAAGGTGTAGGAAATCTGTAGATGCTGACCTGCCAATGAAGCTCGTCTGGAATCCCATGTTTCTAGGAATCCCATTCTTGGTCGCAACCAATCACCCTATGCCTTTTTGGCGGGAGATGCACTCAGATACAGGGTTGGGCAACCAAATATTGGCAAGGGGTCCAGGGTCCTGGGTCTGTCTCTGAGAGCTGTGTTGGTATGTATTGTTGTTTTCATGCTCATTTGCTCTTTTTCTTGTCCCATTGATGCTTACCTAGCTTCAAGCGCTCCTTTCATCCGCTTCGTTGTTCTGTGTTACACCTGCGTAGGATTGTACGTCCGTTTCTGCAAGCCTCCAGAACACGCTTGTCTAGCACGTTGTCACAGTTAGGTCGTAGAGGGTTGTTTTTTTTTTTGGTCAGCCCGTGTTTCTTTGGCATCTCTCGTAGACCCTCCGCCAATTCTACAGAGGTTTTTCACTGTAGGGTATAGTTTTATCGGTATACCTAACGCCGCTTGTAGGTCTTTTTGTTAGACCGCGTATGCACCCAATCGTAGACCGCTTCTGCACCCAGAATCGCATAGGTCCTATGCAGGTCGTTCCGATGTAGAATATACTGCAAAATCCGCGTCACGGTATAGCACTCGAAGTCCACCTATACCAAAGCTAGCCTCCTCTGCTCGGTATTCGTTCGCCTTTCTCTGCACCCCGCTCATCTCAGACCTTGTCTATTGGTTGCCTCCACAGTGAAGCCATCCGCCGAGGGTTTTCGCAGACGGATGTAGACTCGTTTACGTCACCCCCGTAACACTGCCCTACCTAACTTTATACTCATTATTCGCGCCAGCATGCTTCCCGACTTGAACGCGGACGTTAGCGGCGAGGATGAGGCTCTGGAAGAGGTCGTGCCAACACCCGTAGATGACATCCTTCAAGAACGCGAGCTCGACGACCACTTTGACGTGCCTGAGAAAGATGCATACTACGACGGTGTAGGAGATCCTGTAATTACCATTGAAGATGTTGAGGAGAGTGAACTTGTTGGTCTAGACTCAAACGACCTCGATCGCGAAGAAGGGTTCGAGGAAGACTTTGATAAGTCTGACGACGAAGACGAAGAGGCAAGCTTGGCGCGGAGGGCTCGCACTAGGGATTCTGCCAACATTGTAGAGGAGGGTGGGGTGGCGGATGCTGTTTCGCGTCAGGATGCACCTGCAAACCCGGTCGAGGAGGGTGGGGTTCTGGATTCTGGTGCGCGACAGGATGCACCTGCGAACAATGGCGAGAAGGAAGGGGTCGCGCCTTCTGGTGCGCAGAAGGAAGTGTTATAGTCACAATAAGCTTGAATGTGCCTAAAACGAAAGATAGAGAGCACAGACGGATTTCTGCACAGCGGCTTCAAACGTTGATAGCGTTCTGCTCACAGCTGCAAATGACTTGATTCAAATTGGATCTGGAGCGTCTTTACGTCGTCTACAATTAGCAATTTAGATTGCACGATTTGATAAAGAATTGACGACACAGCGTCGGTTTGAACGAACGGTACTATGGCAGCCACTATAGTCTTAGAACACAAGATAGGAAGAGTTACGAGTTGGGAATGACTCCCAGCTCCTACAAATCCCAAGAGCCGAGGTACAGTGATGTGGAACAGTGCCACACTGTCCCCAACCACGAAGGGTCTCGAAACTACCCTTCACTAGGGACTACACCAAGTGAAATGTTACACTACACAAAGTAATGTAACTATCTTCAATATCTTGAGGTGTACCCTTTTGGCAAGCTTCGAAATCACTTGAGGCTTGACACCAAGGCTCGGGCTCTTCATCACAAACTCATCCTTGAGTTCTTGATGGGTCTGCTGCACACACCTGCGACACGCCGAACGTTCGACACAGGACAAAATAGAAACCGCGCACGACAAAATAGAAACCGCGCGCGAGACACAAACGACCGCGTAACACGCGTCTAGCGATAACTCGCTATTGACTCCACACACACACTCGACATCATGACTCAACATTCACACACAATTATAAGCATGAAATATATATTATCCCATGCCCTCATACCATTCCATACACACACACATTCACGCACACGGACAACAAGCCGAGTGCAAACCGTAGGGTTGCACCAACAAACTCCCCCTCGGATTGTTGGCCTTAGGATATGTTGCTCTCTCAGTTCAGAGCCATCCCAGCCAGCTTGCAACACTTCCAATGCTGCTGCTCCACCAGCCTCTTGGTCATCATGTCAGCCGGCTGCCCCGTGGTCTTCACGTAGCGCAACTCAACTTCACCCGCGGTTACCATGCTCCTCGTCCAATGCCACTTCACCCTCATGTGCTTCGTGAGTCCATGCAACACAGGGTTCTTAGCAAGAGCAATGGCACCCTGGCTGTCACAGTACAGTGGGGTAGGTCCTTGCTGCTCCTCCCCCAATTCAGCCAACAAACGCCGCTGCCACACAATCTCCCGTACGGCACGGAAGAGTGCCATGTACTCGGACTCCACCGAGCTCAAAGCTTGGTCAACCTGCTTCTTGCTCTCCCAAGCCGTTGGGCCTCCACCAACACAGCATATGAAGCCTCCCACACTTGTCATGTCCTCTGGTTCTGATGCATATGAAGCATCCGAGTAGGCTGTGAGGAACAAACGCCCGGGTTCAACACCATCCGCGCCCTTTTGGCGCCTTTGTGCCGCCGCCGAGTATTGCAGCCCAACGGTCGGTGTTTGGCCAAGATACTTGGCCACCCTCATTCCAGCTGCTACCTGCTCCTCATTAGGGCATTGCACAACCCTAGCCAGCTGCCCGGTAGCAAACGCGACGTCCGGTCGGGTGTTTACCGCCGCATACATGAGGCTGCCCACCAACGAGTGAAATCGGCGCCTCTCCTCTTCACCAACGCTCTCCTCCTCTGGTCCCTTCACACACTTGAACCCAGAGGGAAAGGGTGTAGCCACATGGCCTTCACTCTGCCCAAAGTTGGCAGCCAATGCCTCCAGGTACTTTCGTTGATGCACCCGCATGCACCGCTTCTCCACATCTCGTTCGATGTGGAGCCCAAGGTAGAAGCTCACGTCACCAAGGGCCTTGCACTTGAACTTGTCTTGAAGCGTCAGCATCACCTCCTTCACAAGGTCAGAAGAGGGTGAGAAAATGAGGATGTCATCCACATAAACCACCATGAAACTCCTCTGCTCCCCCTCGCCAAGCATGAACAAGGAGTGATCGGCCGTTGAGGGAGTGAAGCCGATCCCCTCCAACACTTCGCGCAGCTTCATGTACCATTGCCTAGGGGCCTGCTTCAGCCCATAGAGGGCCTTCTTCAGCTTCCACACTCTGCCACTACCATCATCAAACCCCTCTGGCTGTGCCATAAAAATCTCCTCCTCAAGGATGCCGTTAAGGAATGCCGTTACGATGTCCATTTGCTTTACTACCCATCCTTTGATGGCGGCTCCCGCGAATAGGGTTCGCAGCGTCGTCGGCTTCACCACAGGGGCAAACAGCTCCTTGAAGTCCACCTTCTCCTTCTGCTGGTACCCCTTGGCTACAAGCCTAGACTTGTAGCGCTCGATCTTGCCGTCGGCATCCGACTTGATTTTGAAGAGCCACTTGGACGTTATCGCCGTACGCCCCTCCGGTAGCTCCACCAATTCAAACGTGTCATTCTCCTCGATGCTCTTCAGCTCACTCTCCATGGCCTTCTTCCACTCCTCAGCATCACTACTCTCCAAAGCCTCCTTGAGAGTTGCTGGTTCTCCCGGCATCTCCACCTGAGAGAAGAACGCGAAGGCACACTCCTCGTAGTCACTCTCCTCGTCGTCTCCGACCATCATTGCCGCTCCGGCCAGGGCTGTCTTGCCCTGCTTTCCCGGCGCATCATAGGTCAGCCTATTAGGGGGTTGAACTCTCCTCTTCCCCCTTCCTTCCTCCTCAGCTGCAGGGACTTGAAGGCCTTGGCGTTGCTGCGGTGTGGCTCGAATCCGTGGAGCACTCGTAGTACGGGAAGGGAGTGACGGTACACGCTCGCTCACTTGCTGCACCTCCTCCTCTTCTTCCTCTGCATCATTGGCCTCCTCTCCCCCATTCACAAGGGAGGATTGCCTTGTGGTTGTGCTGCCGCTGCTCAGCTCCAAAGGCAGCTCCACATGCTCCAAACCGGAACTCTTCACCTCCCCAAACCGCACGCCTATCTTCGCCTCATTCTCCGCCTTCCAATCCTTGTACATGAAGTTCTCCATGAACTTGCAGTCCCTGCTCACCAAGAACTTCTTGGTGAATGGGTCCCAAAGAAGCCATCCCTTGCTGTTTTGAGCCATGCCCAAGTGCACGGCCCACACCGCCTTGGCACCAAGCTTGTTGTGCCGAAGATGCTTAGGCACGAGCGCCATGCACATGCACCCGAACACCCGAAGCATATCCACCTTTGGCTTCCTTCCTAGCCACTCCACATAGGGCACCCATTTGTCTGATCCCACATGAGTCAAGGCTCTGTTCTTGGCCACACACGCGCTCCGCACCGCATCAGGCCAGAAATAGTCGGGTAGCCCGGCTTCAATGAGCAACCCGCGTGCCGCCTCCGTGATTGTGCGGTTCGCTCGCTCGGCGATGCCGTTCATTGCAGGGGAGTATGGCATGGTGAGGGAGTGCCGAATACCATTCTTCTTCAGCCACAACCCAAACTCCTTGCTCAGGAACTCTCCCCCTCGATCGGTGCGGATTGACTTGACTAGACGGTCTTGTTGCCGCTCCACCATCGGGAACCAATCCGTCTTCAACGTTTCAGCCACGTCGCTCTTCTTGGCCAGCACGTACACCCAAGTCATGCGGGTGTAGACGTCGACAATGGTGAGAAAATACTCAGCTCCAGCAGCTCCAAGCTTCAGGGGGCCCACCACGTCCATCACCACCTCATCAAGCGGTGCCTTTGCCGTTGCCTCCGAACTAGGGAACGGAAACCGGGTGAACTTGGCTTGAATGCACGTCGGGCAGCCAAGCACCTCATCGGGCTCCCCCTTCACACGTATGCCAGCAACCATCTCATTCTTCACTAGCTGCTGCAAGATGGGCAGGGCCACATGCCCCATGCGCCGATGCAAGGTGTGCCAATCACACTCCCCCGTAGCCGAAGTTGGATTGGAGAATGCCGCGCTCGCAATAGCGCCCCACATACTCTCTCCGTAGTCCTCCTCCGCTGCTGCCTCTGGGTTCTCCTCACCCTTTTGCTGCTCCTTGGTTGCTGCACCACTCTCCTTAGGTTCACTGAACTTGCTGGTCCCTCCAGGTTTGCTCTTCTTGAGCTCATTCTCCTTAGCGCGACCGTTCGCGCCATCGTCGCTACCGACCGCTCCATCCTTGGTGCTGATGCTTGCTGCCACTTGCCTCTCCTTAGGCATAGGGACCACTGGGATCTGCCACATCTCGTTGTAGACATCCCTGTCCTCATGAAGGTCCCAAAGAATTCGATCGCCAAGCCTTGCGGTGTAGGTCTTGGCTCCCTTCGAGTTCGTGTCCATGCCGGCCTTTGCCAACCGCCGCACGGAAATCAGGTTTGCAGCAAGGCTGGGCACCCAAAGCACGTTCTTGAGGCCCACCATCTTCCCATCAGCACCCTTGAACATGGCCTTGCCCATGCCTTTCACCTCTGCTCGCTGCCCCAAAGCCGATGTGACATGCTTCACCGGTGACGGCTCGAGTTCGGTGAGCAAGTCCGGGCGAGGTGTCATGCTATAGGTAGCGCCACTATCAATCACCCAATAGTCCAGGGGGTGTAGGGTCACCTTCCCCACAGCTGCTGGCTCCTCAAAGCCTTCATCCTTCTCTGGACCAGCCGGTACTTGCGTCGACACGAAGTAGAATAGACCCGGGTATCGATCGTCGCTCGGGTCCTTGTCGTTGTCTCCGCTCTTCATGTTTGCAGCTCCGCCACCGCGACCGCCACGGCCTCCACGGCCTCGTCCTCTCCCTCCTCCTGCTCCTCTACCCTCTTGGCCTTGAGCAGGGGTCCAACCATCAGGGAGTTTGTAGCAGTCGCGCCACATGTGTCCGCTCTTGTGGCAATAGTGACACTCGCCGTCGAATCGGCCGCGACCGCGTCCATAGCTCTTGTCGTCGCTGCCGTAACCGCCACTCCTGCGGCCTCCGCCGAAGTTGCTGCCACCAAACCTTCCTCCCCCTCGTCCTCTGCCTCTTCCTCGACCATATCCACGGCCGATGCTCGCTGCCCCAGCGCCATCCGCACTCGCCAACTCACGGCGGCGGAAATCCTCTTGAAGGATAGCTCGCTTCACGTCTTCAAGCGAGAGGCGGGGCAAGTCGCGATTAAGGTTGATGATGAGCGAGGACCATGACTCTGGGAGTAAGGCCAGCAACTTGGTCTTCTTTTGGAGCTCACTGTAGTTCAAATCAGCTCCCTCAAGCCGCGTCAACAAGTCGAAGAATTTCTGCACCCCTTCTTCAACCGCTTCGTCTTCTTCAATTCGTAGTGCCGCCATTTGCCGTTCCAACACCACCGCTACCGCCGCTGTTGCAGGAGCATGTACACCCTTGAGAGCAGCCCATGCCTTTGGTCCTTTCTCTGGTTCACGCTGGAATGGCTTGATGTGACGGATCTGACTGCTCCCCAACGCTTGCCCAAGTAAGAGATAGCCTTGTGCGCTCTTCCGCACCCACGGACTCTTCTCCGGGTCGTTCTCGGGGCGCTTCTCCGTTCCTTCCATCACCTCCAGCAGGTCATAGTGGTCAAAGATGTTCTCCATCTTGAAGGACCATTCAGCAAAGTTGTCACCGTTGAACTTGTCAAGCCCAAACACCCTAGGCTCATCCCTAGGTGGGCCAAGACTTGGTTGCATGGGCGCCATGGCTGAATCACGGGGTTGGCCTTGAGCTTGAGCTTCTCCACTGCCACCAGCACCTCTGCCACCCCTTTCCTCAGGTCCAGACATTGTCGAAACTGCTCCAAGGGGCTCTGATACCACTTGTTATAGTCACAATAAGCTTGAATGTGCCTAAAACGAAAGATAGAGAGCACAGACGGATTTCTGCACAGCGGCTTCAAACGTTGATAGCGTTCTGCTCACAGCTGCAAATGACTTGATTCAAATTGGATCTGGAGCGTCTTTACGTCGTCTAAAATTAGCAATTTAGATTGCACGATTTGATAAAGAATTGACGACACAGCGTCGGTTTGAACGAACGGTACTATGGCAGCCACTATAGTCTTAGAACACAAGATAGGAAGAGTTACGAGTTGGGAATGACTCCCAGCTCCTACAAATCCCAAGAGCCGAGGTACAGTGATGTGGAACAGTGCCACACTGTCCCCAACCACGAAGGGTCTCGAAACTACCCTTCACTAGGGACTACACCAAGTGAAATGTTACACTACACAAAGTAATGTAACTATCTTCAATATCTTGAGGTGTACCCTTTTGGCAAGCTTCGAAATCACTTGAGGCTTGACACCAAGGCTCGGGCTCTTCATCACAAACTCATCCTTGAGTTCTTGATGGGTCTGCTGCACACACCTGCGACACGCCGAACGTTCGACACAGGACAAAATAGAAACCGCGCACGACAAAATAGAAACCGCGCGCGAGACACAAACGACCGCGTAACACGCGTCTAGCGATAACTCGCTATTGACTCCACACACACACTCGACATCATGACTCAACATTCACACACAATTATAAGCATGAAATATATATTATCCCATGCCCTCATACCATTCCATACACACACACATTCACGCACACGGACAACAAGCCGAGTGCAAACCGTAGGGTTGCACCAACAGGAAGCAGCTCCAGAGCTGGACAGCAAGAAGGACCGTGCAAAACTGCCGCTTCGGCAAATTTCGGTCGACACGAGAAAGCACTACTGGTTCAACTTTCTCCATTTCAAGTGGTGGGTCATAATTTTCATGGCCACGATGGCAAAGACCGAAGTTCCACCAAAGGAGAGGCTGAAAGTGCATGACGAGGTGGGGTTTATGCTGGGCAATGATAAAGGGCAGCAGTGGGCTAACGTGACGGACCCGTGGGACATTCATCTGCACGGCCCGCGTGTGACGAGATGGAGGGTCGTTCAATACATTCGTTACCTATTCAACGAAACCGACCAACAGGCAACAAAGTTGCGTCTGAAAATTCAACCCAACAAGAAGGTATACTTTGGGAAGTATGCTCGGGCGAGCACAGCGTTTGTGATCAAGGCGAAGATGAACGCGTTGGGATGTCTCGGCAGAATCGAAGCCCGGCTATACGGCTACTCCATTTCATCCACCAAGGACTGGATCAAGTTGATCGAGCTGAACGACAAGCAGGTCGCGTGAGTGTTTTCGATTTTGGCTTGCATAGATTATTTTTAGCTGTTCTACAAGTTGGTACTTATTCCCACTGTTCTTCTATGCAGTGAAGGACGAGATCAGCACCGTGGATCTATGTCCGATTGCTATACGGTTAAGCAGTACAAGACTCTACATCACTCAGTTCTGCCGCCTCTAATATTTGACTTCTACAACAGGTCGAAGGCTGTTCCTTCACGCGATCTGTGGAGGGTTCTTCAAGCGAAGGTTATGATACAGTTTGGTCATCAATTTCTTGGAAGGGGATGCAGCATTCGCAAGATCCGACTTGGGAACATTTTTGTCCGCCAGACGCGAAGTACCTCGCACGTCGACGAGGAGCTGGACGTGTTCATTCTCGTCGTAACTTCCAGGAAAACGAAGACCAACGTGACCAACCAGCTGAGTCACCAGTTCCTTGCTAGGCATAGGGACTGGCAGCTCTGCGGGATGGGCGGAGTCTTTCTGTGGTTACATTTCCTCTACGACCAAATCCCTTTGCGCTACGGGGATGGCATAGTCGAGCCTCTCGACTTTTCCGAGCCGCTCAACTGGACAAAGATGCACCTTTTTTTTACTTTGAAGAGGCCGAATGACCCGGTGAAGCAGAAGCAAGATGAGATGCCATACAAGACGCATGGCAGCTGGATTACATGGGTCATGAAACAGGCAGAATGGGTGCTAAGCAAGGTGACTCATGCCTTCCGTAGATCGGGAGCTCAGGGACTCAGTGACGATGGCTGCTCCGACAACGACATTGGCAGTCTTGGAGGCTGGGCGCAGGGGGAGATGCGGAGGTCCTACATTGTCGGCGTGCCGTTCGGACCAGTCTTTCTGCATGCTGGTTACAGTGGTGATCGGGGAGACTACTATATCGGAAGATCCAAAGCAAAGCTTCCACGTCACAAAGACCCCGAGAAGGACGAGTGGAAGATGTTGCTGAAGCTCTTCGACCAGCACATCTTCCCCTGGATCGAGGCGGATTTGAAGAAGGTATTAGTAGGGTTCAACTATGCACATTGAAATTCCCAATTCTACATCTTTCTCCAAATTCCTTGACTATGCGTACTGGTCCCACCCTCCCAGGTGCATGCTTGGAACGCCAGGCAGAAGGACTCGCAGAAGAGGCACTATGCAGGGGTGAGATTCCTCGAGACGCTCAGAGACATCGGACGCCTCGTGGTTGCACAGGACTTGGCAATGATGTGGATTCACTGCGAGGTTCACCGGTACAAGGAAGAGGGCTTTCGCAGGTGCAATTGCCAGCGTCAT